GCAAGTGTCCTACTTGCTGTACTATCACTTTGGGCCCAGCTTGTTATTTTTTTTTTACAAAGGCAAATTTTGGTAACTTGGTATAAAATCTACGATTTAGTGACTTCACAAAATATGTGTGTGCTGCACATACATTTGGTGGTCAAGAGCCGCCTCCCATCCTCCCCAGGCCTCCCCAGCAAAGAGACAGAGAAGGGGGACTACAGCCTGATGGTCAAAATGGCCCATTTAATGCAGAGCTGCTAGCAGACTTATAGACCATCTGCGGGGGGGTTGAGGTAAGGACATAGGTATGATTGATCATTTACAGAGATAAAACAGTTGGCAGACATTCCTGGGTGTTAATCTCCCTTTTTGTTGCTTTATGTTCCCCAGATGAATGCAGTCTTTCTCCATGAATGGAAGGCCAGCCACAGGCTCTAGGTGAAAAGGAAGCTCAGATAAAGAGAGTACCAAATGAAGGGTGTTGTGAGGGCCCTCCCAGGGTGGGAGAAGCATGCTAGAAGTAGTCGATAGACCAAACATGATTGCCACTCAAAGCCTCTCTTGCAAAACACAGTACCCAAAAGAAGAGAGAGAGAACAAGGGGGAATACCCTGCCACAGAGGCAGGATGGGACGGGGGGGCGGGGGGGGGGGGGGATGAAGGGTGGGGGAGGGATGCTGGGACCCGTGGGGATGGATGACGGGCACTGGTGGAGGGATGGGCACTTGATCATTGTATAACTGAAATCCAAGCACAAAATTTGTAAGCCTATAACTGTACCTCATGGTTTTTCACTAATAAAAAAAAGAAAAAATTTTAAAAAAAAAACAGTTGGCAGAGGCAAGTCTTTAGAAATTAACGCAAAACGTTTGGTAAAGGCAATTTTCTTGGGGAGATTAACTCAAGGAGACACACTGTCTCCCAGGGACATCTACATTGCTTCTGTCTTTTCTTCTAGTGTATATGTTATACAATTAAGTTTACTTGGTGGGTCACACCCACCAATTGGCCCCCTGGCGCCGTGTAATCCCATCAACGGCCAAGACTCAGAGACTATAAAATCCAGCTCCCGGAACTGCGCGGCCGCATTTGCGACCGCGCGACATCTTATTATGACATCTTATTATCTCATTCCTACTTTGGACAAACTGGCAGGCTACCGAATGTAACCTGCCCACACGGCAGAGTCTGGCAAACTCCCTGTGGCGTACCCAATATGCCAAATACCAGTAACAATGATGGGTCTCATTCTCCTAAAGAGCCTTGAATATAATCTCAGGGCTAGGATGAAGGAGACGTTACTGGGGCCTGCTCGAGGCAATCGACGATTAACAGGATGATTTGTGATTTGTGATTGTGATAAGTTTACTTCTCACCAATGCTTGCAGTTTTTTGGATAAGTGCAGTAAGAGACATAGATCCCAACACTTAGTTCTCTGGGCTCTGAGAGCAAGCAAGGCTTTTACTGTAAATCCCAGACTAAGTCTTTTCAAGCCAGTTCAGCTTGTCCTTCTCCATGGGAGTCCTGTCTCTTAAGTCATAACAGCTTGCATCAAGACCATGCATTTATGCTTTCTAGATTGTCCCATTTCGATGCCACTCACCCCAGTCCCCCACCTCCCTTTTGGGTTGTTAGGAACTATAGCAACTGATGCCTGAGTCAAATAATTTGACCAATACTCAAAAGTAGATATATTTCAGTCAATCAACTCCTGAATATTAGGAGTATAGCATTAGCGGTCTTTCTATGTTTAACCAAAGAACATTGCTTTATAGTAAAATATAAAAAGATTATAGGGGAAATAGAAAAGCAGGTACAAATACACAGCACTTCAAATACAAAACACTACAAATACAAAGTCCAGAATTACCAGAAAGTTTGGCTTATAAGTAATCAAAACTAACTTGGGGAACCGAGACAAGGATAGGTTAAAGATTAACTGAATTTGGGATGCTAGCAAGAGCACGTTAAGCTTCTCTGGAAGGAGCAAAAGGGGCATTTCACTGATGAAGCCTAAAAGGGTTAATATCCAATAATTTGGTATTCAAATTTATGTTCAATAAGAACTAAAATGATTTTTCTTGGGGTTGGTTTTATTTTGTTGGGGGGCCACATCCAACAGTGTCAAATATCCACCCCAAGGCTCCTCATGGCTTGCTTGCACCTCAGCCCTTTGAGCTAGCTAGCTCTCCTGTCCCAAGTTGACCTGTTTTATTTATTGAAGGAACTGTTTGGATCTCTCCTGGTAGTACTCAGAATTTGCTCCTGGCTTTGTGTTCGGGATCAACTGCTGGTGGTGCTTGGGGAACCTGATATGGTGCTGGAGATTGAACTGGTGGTGTTGTGTGGAAGGCCTTAAGCCCTGTACAGTCTTTCTTGCCCTCAAAATGACATGTTTTAAAACATTATAAAACATGAAAAACTGTCAAAGCAATTTATTTTAGCTTTAGTTAATTGACCATTTCCTAGTTTTTCTATCAACATGTAATTGCTACATCTATGTTTTCAAATTTCTCTAGCATGCAAGTATAGAATGTGGGAAAGGTTTAAAACAGATGGCCCTGCTGGGTCCTGAGGACCTCTGGAATGAACCCTAAACCACGAGTTCTCCCTGTTAGGATGAGGTTTGCTGGTATGGCCCATAAAAAAACAAAAGGAAAAACTAGCATTAAAAGAATAACTTAAATTGAACAAATTCTTGGACCTGACGAGATAGAGAGTACAGCAGGTAGGACTCTTGCCTTGCAGGCTGCAATCTTAGTTTCCCTCCCTGGTGCCCAGTATGGTTTCCTGGTACACTGCCCCGAGTATCCCTGAAGGCAGAACCAGGAGTAAGTCCTGAACTCCACAGAGTGTATCCTTCCCCCATCAAATTTTTTTTTTTGGAATGAATACTTTTTGTTAATTTTATTTCCCTAGACAGTAGGTAAGCTGTTGTTATTAATTTTGGGAGGGTGGGAGGAGGTACATCCAGTGGTGCTCAGGGATTACTCCTGACTCTGTACTCAGGATTTACTCCTGACTGGCTCAGAGGACTCTGTGGGGTGCTGGGGATGGAACCCAGGTCAGCCACATGCAACCCAACTTGCAGTACTAGTGCTCTGACCTGTTATTTAATTTTAATTTAAAAAGTTTGAGAGCCACTTGGTAATTTTTTTACCCCAGTTTTTACTTTCATTCCTGAAGTATTTAAACATTTTTTGCACAGTTTTTATTAATGCTCCTAGCACCTTTAAATACTGGATTCTATAAGATGTAGGAAAGAATGTAAAAGCTGTAATCTGTCTCATGATTTAGAGCGGTATTGGTCAGCCAGGTGTAGCCACCCAGGATATTTTGAGTGGCCACAGGTGAAAGTAGTGTAAATGGTTGGGGGGAGGTCACAGCACAGGACTGGGAGCCTAAGAGTAGGAATGGGGGTAGAAGGGGGGTGCAGGATGGAAACAAGGTTGGAAGGGCCCAACAGAAAGGTCGTAAAAGGTCGTGAAACATTGATTTAGAGGGGCGGGAGTGATAGCACAGCGGGTAGGGCGTTTGCCTTGCACGCGGCCAACCCGGGTTTGATCCCCAGCATCCCATATGATTCCCCCAAGCACCACCAGGAGTAATTTCTGAGTGCAAAGCCAGGAGTAACCCCTGAGCATTGCTGGGTGTGACCCAAAAAAGCAAACAAACAAACAAAAAAACACATTGATTTAGGGGCTGGAGAGATAGCACAGTGGGTAGGGCATTTGCCTTGCACACGGCTGACCTGGGTTCAATTCCCAGCATCCCATATGATCCCCTGAGCACTGCCAGGAGTAACTCCTGAGTGCAGAGCCAGGAGTAACCCCTTGCATCGCCAGGTGTGACCCCAAAAGCAAAAAAACAAAAAAAAAAAAACAAAAAAACCCCATTGATTTAGAGTTATTCTATGATAGATAATAAACTTATTCGCTATACTTGTATGGCTCTGTCTCAGAGAATATGTTGAGGAGTTGTAGTTTTTTTTTGTTTGTTCGTTTTTTTTTTTTTTTTTGGCTTTTTGGGTCATACCCGGCGGTGCTCAGGAGTTACTCCTGGCTCTGCACTCAGGAATCACCCCTGGCGGTGCTCAGGGGACCATATGGGATGCTGGGAATCGAACCTGGGTTGGCTGCGTGCAAGGCAAACGCCCTACCCGCTGTGCTATTGCTCCAGCCTGGAGGAGTTGTAGTTTTTAAATCTGAAAAAATAAAATACATTTCCTACATGTCCAAGGATAGAGAATGTTTTCATTAATACCTGATTCTAACCACTGCAAAAATATTAAAATATTTTGTCTTTTTCAAATGAATTGCATATTAAATTGATGGTTGAGTTTTTCCATTGGTGCTATTTTAGAATCAGGGCAGTGAATTAAGTAACAGGGTACTACTAGGCTTTTCACATCATTTTATCCCATTTAATTCTTAAAACCTCATTTTACACGGGGAGAAAAATTTAATTGTTTATTAGTAGAACAAGAAGGCAATCTTAAAATCCAGTGTGTTTTTCTAAAGGATCTCTTCTTAATGTTAGGGAACGTCAGTGACCTGGGAGTCACTCTGCAGTGCTCGGGATTCCATGCGGAGTGGCATCACCCTAGGTCTCCCAGGGCCAGAAAGATAGTGAAGAGGGTGTGGTTGTGCTCTGTGGTTCTCTAAGCGCTATAGGGAATGAGTACTGAGCATAAAGCTGGGGCCAAGTCCTGAACAAGGCCAGGGCGTGTCCTAAAAGCAGCACTCCAACCCAAAATTAACAACAGCACACAGACCAGGGCATTCTGCCTGCACATCCTGCACTCTTAATATTTCTCTCTCTCTCTCTCTCTCTCTCTCTCTCTCTCTCTCTCTCTCTCTCTCTCTCTCCCCCCCTCTCCCCCTCCCTCCCCTCTCCCCTCTCTCCTCTTTCTCCCTACCACCCCCACCAAAAAGCTTAAGATGAAAACCTTAGCTAATATAAATGACTGTAATCATGCAAATGTTTCTGATAGCTGTTCATATCTTGTCACCAGGAGAGTAAGTGTGAGAGTGAGCATTGAACTACAATCAGTTTCCAATCCAGTTCACAGAAAGGTTGGTATTTTATTCTGTCCTTGTAATAATGGTATTTGATGTACATTATAATTGTTTTTGTGCTTGAAGAATATGAGATCTGTCAGACTATCTTAGTTTTAATTCTGGGATTTTTATGTAATGTGCAAGTCTGGGGTAGTAGAATTCAGTAGAATTACAAAATTATTTTGCGTATGTCATAAAATTCTTTTTTTTTTCTTTTTTTTGCTTTTTGGATCACACCCGGCGGTGCACAGGGCTTACTCCTGGCTCATGCACTCAGAAATTACTCCTGGCGGTGCTCAGGGGACCATATGGGATGCTGGGAATCGAACCCGTGTCCGCCGCGTGGAAGGCAAACGCCCTACCCGCTGTGCTATCACTCCAGCCCTGTCATAAAATTCTAAGGCATACAATAGGCTTTTTTTTAGGTTTGCTTAATGCACTTAAAAATTGCTAGAATACATCCTATAGAATTGGCATTTCATGCTGTAAATGTTAGAACAAAATGAATTGATTCACTGCTGCAATTTTTTTTTTTACATTTCTTTAATTTTAATGTATCACTGTGAGATACAGTTACAGACTTACAAATTTGCATGATTACATTTCAGTCATCCAATGTTCGTTCATGTTCCTCCACCTGTGCCCATTCTCCACCACCAATGTTCCCAGTATCCCTCCTGCCACCCTGATGTTATGTTTTTTAATCTTTTACGTTGCCCTTTGAAAAGAGGATATTTAGAACATCCTATCTGATTTTTGGGCCAAAGAGATTGTACAGAGGTGAGGCAGTTGTCCTGCACTAAGCCAGCCCCAGTTTGATCCTGGCATTGCATATGTTCCTCTGAGCATTACCAGAAGTGATCCTTATGCATAGAGCCAGGATCAAGCCCTGATCACTGCCGGGTATGGCTGAAAGTCTTCCCAACCCCACCTCAAAAAAAAAGAGCATAGAACATTCTATATGATTTTCACTATCATGGGTCAATAATGGATAAGGAGGGAGATAGGAGAGGTAAGAAATACGGCATGTTTTATTCTGCGACAGCTTTGAAAAAGATCAGACCTAGCAGTTATTAGTAGCATGACAATATTTTATAGCATATTGGGGTGAATCTCAGGAAGGACTTAAATAGAATCTCTTTCAGAGCTGGGCATTCTGAACAAATACCCAGATTGCTTATTTTCCAGGATAGAGGTTATAAAAATGTCTGACCTGTTAGTCCGTTGTTCTTGATTTTCTATTTCTACTGTAAGTGAATCAGGTGTTTCTAGGATCCTGCCAGTTCATCTGTGACCACAAGATTTTATTTCAAAGTGGAAACTTCCTCTTACTTTGTTAATCCTCCACTCTCTTTTTTGCTGTGCCTGATTGTTTTAAACCATTATTCTCTACATGAGGTCTGTACTTTTTAATAAGCTTTCACTGCTGTGAAGATCCCTTGCTATAAATTTGACTGCCGGGAAAGTGGTTTTTGTGAAAAGTGCTTAACTTCATTTGAAGCTGGAAACAGATGGGATCCCCTTTGGAATAGGAGAGAATAGGTTTTAGGATGAAGCCCTGGAAATTTGTCACCTGATATCCCTGTCATCTGCCAGAGAGACAAATGTTCCTTTGTTTTCTAGGGTGGGTGATTGTCATTTCCCCTGTTGGATATGCCACTTTCAAAATGCCAGGCATTAACTACAGGGATACTTAAAATGCAGTTGAATAAGATGTGGCCATTGGTAGAGTATTTTTGTCATGGTAGCAAGGACTGAGCCCATTTTTCCTAAGCCTCTCATCAGATGATGCTCTTTTTTTTTTCTCTTTGGGTCACATCCAGCGATGCACAGGGATTACTCCTGGTGCTGCCCTCAGAAATTACTCCTGGTGGTGCTCCAGGGACCACATGGAATGCTGGGAATCAAACCCGGGTTGGCCACGTGCAAGGCAAATGCCCTACCCGCTGTACTATCACTCTAGCCTCATGATGTTCATTTTATTGGTGGTTGTGGTGGTGGGGGTGCTCAGTGCTCAGGGGGACTAAGGAATTACTCTTGATGGTGTTTGGGGGACCATGTGGGAAACCCGGGCTGGCTGTGTGCAAAGCAAGCACCCTTCCCTTTGCTGCTCTGTCACTCTTTGAACTTGAAGCATTTAGTTATCAGCCCTAGGCCCCCCCAGCATGTGGCTCTCAGCGACTAGTAAGTATCTCTCTCCCTGTCATGAAAACCCTGCAGCAACAGAAAGCAGGTTATTTTAGATAGAGAAGCATTGATGTTCTTACATAGTTTAGCTTACAAGAGAAAAGAAAATACTTCAAAATCAGCTCTACTAAAGATGTTAAAACTTTTTTTTCTTCTTAGGACTTAGTTATTCGTCTGACTGATGATTCAGATCCATTTTTTCTGTATAACTTGGTTATATCTGAGGAGGATTTTCAGAGGTAACTAAACTTCTTTTTCTGCTCTTTATTTTTAACCTAGATGTCTAGGTTTTAATGAATCTGGTGGTACTGCTTTGTTTTCTTGTTTTTTTTTTTTGTGTAGTGTCAGGACTCAAAACCAGGACTTCTATCCAGGGCACAACCTGTCTCTCCACTGGACCATATCTGTGGTCTGGGGCTCTTTTTGAAATACCTATTAGGAACACTAAGATACTAGGGAAACACAAATTGATTTGAAAGTAAATGTTTCCTGGGCTATTAGAGTTCTGTATGAGATAGGTCAGAAATTTGGAGCTATAGCTAAATTTACTGTTTTTCTCTTGAAATTGAATAAAATCTACTAAAATCAAAGTTCTCTGACTTAATTCTTCATTATAACTGGCAATTATTAGATGACTATAAATTAAAACAAGAATCAGATATAATAACGTAATTATAATTAAATATAGTGCTTCACTGTCACTGTCCTCCTCTTGTTCATTGATTTGTTTGAGCGGGCCCAGTAACATCTCCATTGTGACTTGTTACTGTGTTTGGCATATCGAATACATCATGCGTAGCTTGCCAGGCTTTGCTGTGCGAGCGAGATACTCTCCGTAACTTGCCGGGCTCTCCAAGAGGGGCAGAGGAATTGAACCCGACTGGGCTGGGTCGACCACGTGCAAGGCAAACACCCTACCACTGTGCTATCTTTAAAAAATCTTTTTTCTTGTTCTCTGTGTAGTTTAAAATTTCAGCAAGGTCTTCTGGTGGACTTCTTAGCTTTCCCACAAAAATTTATTGATCTGCTTCAGCAGTGTACTCAAGAATATGCCAAAGAAATTCCAAGGTAAGTGTCATGAGAGCAAAATATTATTAAGCTTTTCTCAAGTCAAGCCCTTCTTTGACTACCAAGTTGATGACAGAATATCTTCTATATCTTCTGTTAAGTATAGAAGATAGTCACGGTTCTCCCGTTGTTCCTCGATTTGCTCGAGCGGACCCAGTAACGTCTCCATTGTAAGACTTAATTGTTACTGTGTTTAGCATATCGAATACGCCACGGGTAGCTTGCCAGGCTCTGCTGTGCGGGCAAGATACTCTCGGTAGCTTGCCAGGCTCTCTGAGAGGGAAGGAGGAATCGAACTCGAGTCGGCCATGTTGGCTGCGTGCAAGGCAAACGCCCTACCCGCTGTGCTATCGATAGCACAGCGGGTAGGGCGTTTGCCTTGCACGCAGCCAACATAGCCAACACAGGTTTGATTCCCAGCATCCCATATGGTCCCCTGAGCACCGCCAGGATCAATTCCTGAGTGCATGAGCCAGGAATAATCCCTGAGCATCGCCGGGTGTGACCCAAAAAGGAAAAAAAAATTTTAAAAAATAAATAGAAGATAGTAATAGCTTTAAAATAGACATCTTCTTTTTAAAAAAAATTTTTTTAAAGAAACATTCACTTAGTGATGCTCAGGGGTTACTCCTGTCTCTGCGTTCAGGAATTACTACTGGCAGTCATCAGGGGACCACATGGGATGCCAGAGATCAAACCTAGGTCAGCCACATGCAAAGCAAACACCCTTCCTGCTGTAAAGAATAGGAAAGACTCTGATTCATAAAAACTGAGACTAGGGCTATGTTAAATCTCAGGTTTTAACAACTTACAGTAAAAATCAAATATTTCCTCTTAATTTTTATATTTGGCGCTGTCCAACTTGTATATTTGGACAAAGCCATTTGACACATTTGAAATATTTTACAATATAAAACATGATTGTATAATAACTTAGAAAAAAGAGAAAAATAAGATTTTGAGTTAGTGTATGTTTGTATTCATCCGGTGGTGAGGCTTGATCCAATCTTTATTGTTTACCAACCCTTTAACTAATGATTTCATTGACTGTTGTTTGAAACAGTAAATTTCATTAGGACCTATAAAAATTATTTTATAATTTTTTATTTCTATATTATTAGGTATAAGTCTATAAAGGAGAGCTTTCCCTTAGCAATTTTGACTGATTATTCTCAGCATTCATACAGATTACATCTCAAATTTTTGTTTGTATTTGTAAATTGTCAGTTTTTCAGATAATTTTTCAGGGACTTCAGGAGTTGTTATCTACTTCCATGGTTTTAGTGATGTTAAAGCTTTTTAAAAAATTGGTTAGGGTGTTCGGGGGACCTGCCTCTGTAGTAGTGTTTGTGGCCTGGATACGGGACTTGCAACTCAGTGCTCTCACCCAGTGGTGCTGGGGATTACCAGGTCCACAATCTGGTGGTGCTTAGGGAACCCTGTGGTGCAGCAGATGCTGTTGAGGGTGCTGGGCATTGAAGGCATCCCATAGGCATCTCCCTCTTCCCTTTTTTTTTTTTTGTCTTCGTTGCCTCTCCTTTGTATGCCACTTACTTGGAACTCATGGACATGGATGTGTATGTATAAATACACATATATACAGATGCTGTTCCAGTCGATCTGTTTTCTTGCCCAGTACATCCATTTCCCCCATTGAATCAGTCTTTCCCATTTTGCCATTTTGGGCAGTTCTTTCGTATTTGCATCTGCATTCCCATTATGCCTCCTTTCCTTACCCTGTGATTCATTATTTCATAAACATGTTCAAACGTGACACTCTTCTTTTCAAGGTTTTTGCTACAGTTAGTGTCTCCATCGGCAATTTTGGATAACTCACCTGCCCTTTTAAATGTAGTAGAGACAAATCCTTTTAAACATCTCACACATCTCTCATTAAAACTTTTACCTGGAAATGACGTGGAAATAAAGAAATTTCTAGCAGGCTGTTTAAAATGTAGCAAGGTAAGATGTACATTTATGTTTTTTTTTTAAAGTGCAGGTTTAAAATAAATTTTCTTAACAAAACAGACATTTTATTTAGACAAGCTGCAGTGAAGATAGCTCTGGGGTAGGATTTGAGCTGTATTGGTCCAGTGCATTTTACTGATTTTCTGACACCTTAGGCATATGGTTTCATAAGGAAGAAAGTGGAAGCAAGTATTTATACTATTTAGCTGATTACTTCATAAAGTAGATAGTTTAAGAAAATAACATTGATAGGCATCATAAAAATTTTAGGGCATTTTGTTTTTGGGACACACTAGCTGTGCTTGGATCTTTCTCCTGGCTCTGTGCATAGGGATCACTTATAGTAAGTCTGGGCGACCATATGCAGTGCCAGGGGTTAAACTTGGGTTGGCTGCCTGTAACCTGTGTTTGTGCTCTCTGTGGTTCAGAAGTATTTTAATCAAATGCATTGAGATTAGTGCATCTCAAAATGTAATGGTGTTGCTGAGTCTGACTCAGAGGTCTTAGGTAAAGCATGAGATTTTAATCTGCCTTTGTAATTAACTACCAGGGTCTTGCTGATGCCATACATTGTTACTCTGAGTAGCATAACTGTAGATGATTAAATTGTAAACTGCATAATAATACTATTTTTATAAATAGGAGGAAAAATTATCATTGACGCAATCACTTGATGATGTTACTAGGCAACTGAACTTTACACAAAAGGTAATTCAAATTTCATTGAACATCATCCAAACATTCGCTTGGAATTGCTTCTTGAATCAAATCAAAGATTTTGTGTGTGTGGGTGTGTTTCTTCAAAATATATTATCATTGAATTGTTTCTCTTTCTTGTCTTTTCCTTTACCAGCTAATAATTTTAATCTAACACTTTGATTTTTTTTTCATCCAGACTGTTTTGATCTATGGCTTGTTCCCTTCAAATCTTCGTTAAATCATATCATGTATATTTGCTTCCAAAAGTTAGTTTTCTTTTACTCTGTTCCTTTTGTCTGAACTAGTTTCTCAGTTCCTGATTTCCAAAATCTATTACATCCTTCTGTTATGTTTAGATTAAATTCCTTTGATAACCTTTATTATCATTTCAGGCATAGCTAGCCCTTGAAATTCAAGGATCAAAGTATCTGATAAGCTGCATTGTTTTAGTCAGAAAATAACGCTCCATAGCTTGGTTCATCTTGGGAATCTGTATTACTAGGTTAGATAAGTGAACTACCCCTCTTGACTACTTACTTGAGTTGCTTCTTTTTATTTTGGGGGCCACTCTGAGTGATGCTCAGGGCTGACTCCTGGCTCTGTACTCAGCGACCATATGTGGTGCCAATGCTGGGGACTGAACTCTGTACTATCTCACTGGCCATGGGTTGCTTTCCTTCTTCCTGTTGGAAGAGAGGATCAGCAGTTGAAGAGCCAGATTTAACAAAACAGTTAAATAAACATGGGTAGACTTTACCTGTGTTCCACTTTAGCTCTGACGTTGCTTCTAATCTTTATTTTCTCAACTTAAAAAATCTGTCTAGATTTTGAAGAATATAGATTTTGAAGAAACTGCTATAAATATCTTGAAAAACTGATCCCATTTTTATATAGCATTGTAAAGTATTGCCATATTCTAATAAAAAAATTAAGAGATTGTCTTAATTTGTATAACTCCACTACAGACATTGTCAGAAAAAATTCAAGAATTAGATAAATTACGGAATGAATGGGCATCACATACAGCCGCATTGTCAAATAAGCATTCTCAAGAATTGACAAACGAGAAAGAAAAAGCCTTGCAGGTATGAACACTTTTTAAAACCCTGAAAAGTAGCTTCATTTGTGTGGTAAGTCATTTTGTTCATTACAAAAGTAAAACATGTTTGCTATAAAATTTCCAAACTTGCAGAAGTGTATAAAATGAAAATTAAGAATCTTTATTTCAGGGGCCAACCCAGGTCTAGTTCCTGACACTGTACATAGTCCCCCAAGCACCCTCAGGGATGATCCCTGGGTGCAGAGCCAGGAGTAAATCCTGAGCACTTCAGGGTGTACTCCCCCTTAACTCCCCCCCACAAAAAAACCCCCCAGGAATTAAAAGAATATATGTTCTGGTTGTAAAAACAAAACATTATGCTTTGCATTTGTGATACTGTGGGTGTGATATTCTGCAACAAAAATCTTGATATAAAGGTCACGGTCCTCCCGTTGTTCATCGATTTGCTCGAGTGGGCCCAGTAACATTGTGAGATTTGTTACTGTGTTTGGCATATGAAACACATCACGTCACGGGGAGCTTGCCAGGCTTTGCCGTGCGGGTGAGGTACTCTCGGTAGCTTGCCGGGCTCTCCGATATAAAGGTATTTCAAACAAATACTGATGAGCCTTGAGCCTAAAGGTAGAGCCAAGGTGCTTGAAGGCATGCGACTGCCCAGCACCCCATGTGGTCCCCTGTTCCTGGCCAGAAATGATCTCTGAGTGCAGGGCTGGGAATAACTGCTGGGTGTGACCCATAAACCAAAACAAAACCAAAAATCCAATCTTAAAATTTTTTAAGATACTCAAAGTGCTTTTTTACCCAAATTCATGGTATGAGATCTTATATCTACTGTTTCAGAGGGTTTTTAAAATTTTTATTTATTTATTTATGCAGAGGTGGGTGGCGCTATTGGGGCAGACACACCTGGTGGTCCTCATGTTTTACTCCTGGCTCAGGGATCACTTCTGGTGGGCTTTAGGAACCATATCTCATGTCAGGGATGGAACCCAGATTGGCTAAATGCAATGCAAGCACCTTACCCCACTGTACTATTGCTCCAGTCCCTTTAGTTCTTTTAACTTTGTCATGTATCACTTTCCATATAATTCAAACACCACTACTCTAAACATATGTGGGTTTAGGATAACTATATATACTTATAAACATATAATGCTTTACATTATGATAACTGATAATTATTAAAATAATAACTAATCGTATGCTTTTAATAATAATATGGGTTTTGGAAAAAGATAGTATGCATAAATAAGATTTTAGTGGTAAATTTACCTTATTGCCCTTTTTTCTAGTTATAAGACATTTCGAACAGGAAATCTAATAATATTAATTAGTATGGTTAATATTTTTTCTTCAGATCTTTGTATATTTTTCATTTGAATTTTGAAATTATTTTTTGCTTCATAATAGGCACAAGTTCAATACCAACAACAGCATGAACAACAGAAAAAAGATTTAGAAACCCTCCATCAGCGAAATGTCCAACAGCTACAAAACAGGTTGTCTGAGTTAGAGACGGCTAATAAGGACCTAACTGAAAGGAAATATAAAGGAGACTCTACCATCAGAGAACTTAAAGCAAAATTGTCTAGTGTTGAAGAGGTATTGGATGTTGGATTTGTTCTCTCCTACCTTCCAACTTTAGAAGTATACATTATAGCTTGTGTGGGTGGTTTTCCTTTGTATGTATAAGGTACAGGAACCCGTTGGTAGGGTAATCAGATCAAACCATGCAAGAAAGCACAATATGAAATTTGATTTTTATTAAAAGGATTAATTACTGCTGGGGAGGTAACGTAGCAGACTGGAACTTAGACTTTTCACGTAGGATGCCCAGATTGATCCCTGATACCACTTGATTCCCCCAAGCATTGCATGGTCTCCTGAGCCTGGTTGGAATGTAACCAGAGCTGCCCCTAGACTATGCTAAATGAAAGGGCTAATTTTGCATAGAACTGGGATAATCTTGGATTTGGGGGCATTAGGATCTTGACTTTTCTGTTCATTTTTAGTGTAGTACCAGTAGGTATTGACTATTGACAGGGCTAGTTCCATATCCCAGATTGCTTAGCACACCAAATAGATGAAGTCTGGTGTCATCTAATAATGAGAGCATTCATATCAATCAGTTCTTAAGCAGTACTTAGAAGTGACAGACACTTCTAAGTTCTTTACATCTTATTCCATTTAATTCTATTTTGTTTGTTTTGGGGCCACTCCTGGCGGTGCTCAAAGATCACTCTTGGTGTGCTCGGGGCGCTAGGGATTGAACCCAGATCTGCCATGTGCAGGGCATGCATCCTTCTTGATTTCTCTGTCCCATTTAATTCATAAAACAGTTCTTTTAAAGTAGGTCCTGTTATTGTCCTCATATTACAGATGATGAATCAAAGATTCAGGGAGTTAAGTAACTTGCCCAAGGTCAAAAATAGGTAGGTGGAAGAATAAGATTGGAACCCTCTGTTATTTTCCTGTGTTTTGTACTGCTTTGTTCTTTCAAGCAAGGATATTTATAGTCTTGTTATAGGGGCACATTTGTTGATGCTTTGGTAGTCTATCATATTTGTATCATGTAAATACGGAGACTACCAGTGCCATTTCACCCGTCTTTTATGTGTAGGAACGCTACGTACTGTTTCCATTTCCCCAGGTGCTAGAGATTAATTAAACCCAGGATCTTAACATATGCAATGCTAGTAATATTCTACCACTGAGCTGCCCTTGGCCCTAAAGCATAGAAACTAAAACCTGATGGAGTTGATGTTGATTCTCACAGCATTCTGCCCACAGTAATTGCCTTCAGTTTTTTTTTTTTTTTGCCTACCTGCTTTACCTTTTGCAAACCTAGTACCTTGTATAATTGAAATGTTTTGTTAGAAAGTGCTGTGTGATTTCTTCGTTCTGAAATGGGTCAGTATATAAACAAGAGTGCTCCATTGTGTCGATACTTACCTAATCTAAAATATTTCTTTTAATTTAAATGAACTTGTACATTTCAGGTATGCTAAGAATAATTGCTTCATTTATAGAGGCCTTGCATATGTGAGACCCTAGGGTCAATCTCTAACACCACCAAAACATTGTTGTTATTGTTTACAATATTTCTAGATACTGAATATTTATTATATGCAAGAAATTATATTGTGTATTTACAAAGGGTTTTTTAAAAATTAAGTGTTGGTCTTCTTTATTTGACGGATGAGGTAACTGAGATTTAGGGAAGTTAAGTTATTCCTCAGATCATTCAAATGAACCCACATTTATGTGATACCAAATTCTTTACTTCTAAAACCACTCTGATATGATACTATAAAATTATTTTATAAAATTTTTATTAAAAACCTATCTAGGAATATATATGTTGGACCTTTGTGTACTGGTATACAAGTTAACTCACTAGGAAGTAATCTAGATTTTTAAAATTTATTTTTAATTATTTGAATTTTGCTTTAAGGAATGAACAAAAATAATCAAAAATGGATTATTGTTGACATGGAAATATATTTATAATACATAAAGAAGTGTAAACCTGCATAGTATGAGCTCTTTGTAAAAACCAAATCTCTGTATAGACCAGTGAGTTCCAGGTTTTTTTTTTTCCTCTCAGTATTGGGCCGTGGACCTGGGCCTCAGAAATGTGGAGTTCTACTGTTGAGTCAAATCTCCAGCCTGATTTCTAACCTTTCTATACCTTTGGGCCAACACTGACACTTGGAAAATACTGAGGTGGACAATAGAGAGGAAAAGGTTGCTTTTGAGCATGGCTTTTGTTAAACTGGGCTGAGATCTCCCCAGAGGAATCTCACAAAGACAAGTTACCATGCAATAAGCAAAGGGTCTTTATTGACTACCTTGAGCTAGGGCCCTCATCCAGCTCACTGACACAGTGGCAGCCTTCTTGGAATGAGTGGACCACCCTTTTTGCCGTAGTCTGTCCACCTCTTACATAAGGGTTGCATAAGAGTTATATAAGCTTATGGGTCGGGGGAGGCTTCCCTACCTCCCTACCTGCACCTGATTGGTAACCCTTAGTTGACCTCACCATGGCTATCTCACTTCCGGGGAAATCATGTCTCAATTCCAGGTATCTATGCTCAATTCCAGGATTTCTGGAACCAAAACCTAGGCCTAGCTTCTTCTGGCTTCTTTTTAAGCCTGTCATGGCTCTGCTTTTGCTTCTCTGTCTCTCACTCTGACTCATCACAAGCAGTGCTTCGGGGCAGTCCTTGGCCAGGCTGTTGAGCCAGGCTGTTCACTGTGTAAACCCAGTTGTGCTGGACCACCTGGGTTGTACCTGGCACTGTGGAGGGATTGAGCTGGGAGCCTCCTCATACCAGGCTTATGCTCCAGCCCTTTGGACTGTCTCCCCAGCTCCTCTGATTATACTAATTTTGAAAAGTTACAGTCATTTATTCATTAATCAAGATTTATTTTTCTTCCCTTACAGCAGTTAAATTAGGTATTAGTGCATTTTACAATTATGCACTGTTGCACTGAAGCATTCTTCTCCCGTGGTTCATCAGTTTGCTCGAGCAGGCACCAGTAGCGTCTCCATTGTGAGACTTGTTACTGTTTTGGGCACATCGAATACAGCACAGGGAGCTTGCCAGGCTCTTCCGTGCAAGCGGAATACTCTTGGTAGCTTGCTGGGCTCTCCGAGAGCGACAGGGGCCTCGAGCCCAACCCGGGTCGGCTATGGCAAGGCAAATGCCCTACCCGCTGTGCTATCGCTCTGCCTTAAATTATAATTATATATATTCTAAATCCACAAGTTACCTACAACTATAAAGAGAATTTTTTAGATCCTTAAAAAAAACCGGTAGTAAAACTTTAAAACATTATTAGATTTCAAAAAATATTTAAAACATTTTAATGATAAACTGCCGGATGAGCCTGCTTCTCTTTTCTGTAATTCTATAGAAGAATAGGACTAGATTCAGTAGAAGTTAGACCATAATTCATCTTTCTTGGCCCCTCGACCTCACAGGACCTTCAGCGGACCAAGCAAGAAGTCCTCTCTCTGAGAAGAGAGAATTCTGCATTGGATGCTGAATGCCATGAAAAAGAGAAACATATTAATCAGCTACAAACAAAGGTGGCAGTTTTAGAACAGGAAATCAAGGATAAGGACCAGCTTGTGTTAAGAACAAAAGAAGCATTTGATACAATTCAGGAACAAAAGGTCTTCTTTAAAACTTTCTAAACAAATTAATGATGACATTTACAAGTGATACTTTTCTAAGCAAATACAAATGCCCTAATGTTTTCTGTTTGCCCACATTAGGTGGTTTTAGAAGAAAATGGTGAGAAAAATCAGATGCAACTAGGAAAACTTGAAGCTACAATAAAATCATTATCAGCAGAACTTCTTAAGGTTTGTTTTGAATACTTTATTAAAATAATGAACAGTTTATTTGGAGCATATGAGAATATACATATGAAATTCTTTTACAGGCAAATGAAATTATCAAGAAGTTACAAGGGGATATGAAAAGTCTAGTGGGTAAGTTGAAACTGAAAAACACAGTTACTATTCAACAAGAGAAACTCTTGGCTGAGAAGGAAGAAAAGTTACAAAAGGAACAAAAAGAATTACAAGACGTTGGACAGTCTCTCCGACTTAAAGAACAAGAGGTAGCTAATATTTTGTTTGTGTGTTTATTTACAAGGTAGAAAAATTTCCTTAGGTGTATTTTGAATTTTTGAGGAGAAGTTTGCTAAGTGTTCCCGGTGGGCATGTGGGCCATAGGGAAGGTCCTCAGTCAACTGAGCTGATGGCTTAATGCTACAGTCCGTAAGGACATGGTGCTGCAAGGGCCCTGGGGTGCCATGGACCACCAGGGCCACTGTAGTTGCTCTCAGGGACCTCTTGGACCACACTTGGCAAAGTCAGCTTTCCTATGCATGTGTCTAAATCGCTATTCTATTTCTTAGCCTCTTCCAGATGTAATTAAAATTTTTTTCACTTTGTTATATTAGAAAATAAAAAACGTTTTTCTTTTATTTTCAAAAGAATAGGTTGAGATTCAGTAGAAGTTAGCCTATTTTCGATAAGTTATGACTCGTGTCTTGGGCATTTGTATATATGTGTATATATATTTTCTTACATAGGTGAACCAATTCATTATTGAGACAACTAGCAAAAAAAAGTCAGCTAGCTGTGATTCATATCTTCAGTTTTTCTAGTTTTTATTATACTGATGGGATTAACATATTTCAGGTATGCAAATTACAAGAGCAGTTAGAAGCTACAGTTGAAAAACTTGAAGAGAGCAAACAGCTTCTAAAAAATAATGAAAAGTGTAAGTATATTATCTTGGCCATGCCCTGTTGGGGATATAACTTGTGGCTTCATGATTCCAGCCATGTGCTTTCTCACTTGAGCCATATCCTGGCTCTGTAGCTATATTCTTGTTTTTGTTTTGTTTTGGTTTTGGGGCCACACCCAGCAAGGTCAGGGGTTACTCCTGGCTCTGTCCTCAGGAATTAATCCTGGCGGTGCCTGGTGAACCATGTGGGATGCCTGCGTTTGGACCCGGGTCGGCACATGCAAGGAAAGCTCTTTACCCATTCTATTATCTCTCCAGCTCTGTAGCTGTATTTTAATCGAAATCTTTATTTGAATTCATAAAAGTCTGAACATACCAGAATATTGCTCAGTGCAAGGAAGTTCTGTTTGGTATATACCGTCTTTTCTACACTTTGTCATTGCAATCATGCAGCTCACACACCCCTGGCTGCAGTGCTCCCACTCTTGCGGAGGTCGACTGTATTTGTGGTGTTTGCGCATACAGTGGTTGCAGTGCATGCTGGAGGTGCACACTGGGTTGTGGTGCCTTTTATTGAGGTGAGCTGAGATCATGTGGTTTGTTTGGACTCGGGATCTTACTCAGCAGTGCCACTGGGATTGCTGTTGGCAGGTGGGCTGGGGTCATTCTCTGGATTGAACTTGTAGCCTCCTGCATGAAAGGCAAGTGTTGCACCATTGAATCTCATCTCTGAGTTTGAAACGTCCTTTTTATTTTTTTTGCTTTTGATTCACACCCAGTGATGCCCAGGGCCTACTCCTGGCTTTGCACTCAGGAATTACTCCTGGTGGCGCTCAGGGGACCATATGGGATGCTGGGAATCGAACCCGGGTCAGCCGTGTGCAAGGCAAATGCCTTACCCGCTGTGCTATCACTCTGGTCCCCACATCCTGTCTTAATATCTGCTATATTGTTGGTTACATCATCTGTGAAACTTACCATCATTATAAAGAAAATCATAACAAATGGCAGCACCCCAAAATTAAAAGCTATGAGAATATTGGTTTAATTTTTACTTTAAAATTTTATTTTCCTATTTTTAAATTACTGTTTTCCTAAGAGTAACTATTGGTTATTTGAACTATAATAGAAGATTAAACATATAGCTGACATTTTCTCGATTTCCAGTATTGTTTATCAGATGTGTGAACTTCAGAATTCATTTATAAAGATTTTATAAAGAGAAAAATCTTTCAAAAAGATCTGTTACTAATAAAAAATGTTTCTCATAGTGATAGAACAGTCTTATGTGACAGTTGCTAAAATAAGAGGTTTTTTTTCTTTTCTTTTTTTCTTTTTGGATCACACCCAGCAATGCACAGGGGTTACCCCTGGCTTTGCACTCAGGAATTACTCCTGGCGGTGCTCAGGGGACCATATGGGATGCTGAGAATCGAACCTGGGTCAGCTTCGTGCAAGGCAAATGCCCTACCTGCTGTACTATTGCTCCAGCCCCAAAATAAGAGTCTTGAATGATATACATTTAAATGAGGCTATGTTGCCTCTCCAGTGATAGAGTGGTTGTAAAAACTTAAAAGTGTCTCAGTGTAATTTTTTGTTTGTTTATTTGTTTTTTGGCTACACCCAGAAGTGCTCAGGATTTCCTCCTGGGTTTGTGCTTAGGAATCACTCCTGGAGGTGCTTGGGGGTCCAAATGGGGTGTCAGGTTTGACTGTGTTCAAGACAAACGCCCTAGCGCTGTACTATCACTCTGGCTCCAGTCTCAGTGTATTTTTTAAATGTTTGGAATTATTAGGGGAAAAGTCTAATTTCGTTACATTGTTTTCTGTTCATTTAAGTAATCACATGGTTAAATAAAGAACTAAATGAGAATCAGTTAGTGAGAAAGCAAGATGTTCTAGGACCTGCTACCACTCCATCTCTACATCCTGCTGGCAACACAATCAGAAGTGGAATTTCTACTAACCCCAATATGGTAAGATTTAAGTTAAGATGTGAGAGCTCTTAGTAAATTTTCTGAAACAAAAAGTACTCCCAGATTTTTCTGAAATCTCTACGACTTGAGATGCTGGTACTAATACAATGGGAACCCTACAAATGAAGGCACTGAAGTAGAGGTTTTCTGGCAACCAAGCCCAACAGTACTCAAAGATATTCCTGACTCAGTGCAGTGCTTAGTAGATCGCATGGTGCCGGCAGTCAGATTTGGGGCGTCCTCATTCAGAGCATGTGTTCTAACTTTGCACTCTCTACGATCCCTGAAATAGTGTTTTACGTGTACTTAAAAGCTATTATTGTCACTGTTCTGTTGTTCATCGATTTGCTCAAGCAGGCCCAGTAACATCTCCATTGTGAGACTTGTTGTTACTCTTTTTGACATATCGAATACTCCACGGGGAGCTTGCCAGGCTCTGCCGTGCGGGCGAGATACTCTTGGTAGCTTGCCGGGCTCTCTGAGAGGGGCGGAGGAATCGAACCCAGGTTGGCCTGGTCGGCTGCGTGCAAGGCAAATGCTCTACCTGCTGTGCTATCACTCCCACCCAAAAGCTATTACATAGACTTGAAATATGAGTAGATTCTAGGAAGAAGCCATTTTTAAGGGAATGCTGTTTTGTGCAATTTTAATGATACACAAATTATTTAGTATTAAAGTACTGCCAAACGCATTGAAGATTTTTAAGATACAATCATGCTTGCTTGCATATACACAACACAAAGTCTTTAGGAAACTTCGAGATTAGGGCACTGAAGGACTTGGGGCTTCAGTTTGGAACTACAGTGGAAGCAGCCTAAATGGGATTCCATCAGTGAAGAGAAAGAAGAGGACCAGAGGGATGGTGCAGGGATGAAGGCACTTGCCTTGAATGCTGTAGACCCTGGTTCAAACCTTGGCACCACATTTGCTCCCCCAAACAGCACCAGGAATGATCCCCGAACACAGTGCCAGGATAACCCCTGGTCATTGCCAGGTGTGCCCTCAGAGAAAAAGCAAGAAGACAAAAGACTGAGAAAATCCCCTTGGGCTTGTTAGCTGCAAATTCTAAGAAAAATGGGTTCAAAGACATGTATTTTTCAGCTCCCAAGATGCTGTTTTTATTTTTTTTCCCCTTTCAGGAAACAGGAGAGGGATGGTAAAAAAACAAAAGCAATTTCTTACATCTGGTACTCTCAGATCAGCTTAGGTGTTGCTAGGAACTTAGCCTCAGACCTGGGTCTTATTGCTCTCCTTTTGAACATCAGTAGTTTCACAGAACATTAACATCGCACAAGTTTGCTCAGTAACTGATCAATCATGACGAAAAGAAAACTCCATACTGTCTCAAAACAGACAATAAATATGAACATCACTAAACCACAAAAACAGTTTCTATCCTGGCTAACATAAGTGACTATTGTTCCATTACTAATTATAGCTTTGCCCTTAATACTTTCACATTCTGCTGTTGTAAGTAAAATTTATTGAATTACTTTGTCATAAATTTATTCTCATTTTTGAATTGTATTTAACTCACAGCAAAATCCCACCCTTTTTTTTTTTGCATGATATGACTAATTTATTAAGTACCCACAAAAGTGAGGCTGAGTGTGTGTGCTGTGCCTCAGTAGGAGGTCAGGTGCTTGACACATGACAAATATTAAGTGTGTATTAGTTCCTGAAAGCTCCACTTTCTTAAACTCTTCCTCGAATCGTCTAGCATATGCCAAGGCCTGAAACATCCATTTTTTTAGTATATACCCTCTGCTCGAGCCCCTTGGTGGTTTGCAGTCTCTCTCAGTGCAAGGACTCATAAAGCCTGTACACCTGTAGGTATGTGTGGGTAGTCATTTACTGCGGTTCATTGACAGAGGTTCTAAACATGAAATGCTTAATTGAATTTTTAATATACCCTAATAAATCAGATAGTACTTGGCATTTAAAAAAGAAAACGAATTTCTGATTAGTTAGAAAATGTTCTGTAGAGAAATACCTGTTTCTGAATTAGAATCTCAAAGCAGCAGCTGGAGACAGACACTTGCCTTGTATATGACAGATTTATTATGACTGATTGATGACTGATTAATAAATAGCTGTGTGATAGATACTTTCTGATAGGCAGCCCCTACTGTATGCATTGTTCAATGTTTGTATTTCAGGGACCAGAGAGATAGTACAGGGATGAAGGCACTTGCCTAAATGCAGCCAGACCTGGGTCTGTCCCAGAATACCCCAAGAGGAACCCACCGCACAGAGCCTGGAGTAACCCGAAACTTTCCTGGACATGACCCAAGCCACCCCTTCCTCCACCCTCTCAAAACAACAAAAAGATGTGTGTTCATCTAGCCTCATCTAAGCTGTTTTTATGACATTTGTTAATTTCTTGTATAGACAATATATTGAAAATTATTGGCGAAGCAAGTTATTGCCTCAGTCCAGTGAAGAACCTATTTTGTTTTTAATTTAAGTTTGGCGGAAAATATTTTTTATTTTATTACTGATGGGCCTATTGATTTGTGACTCCCATCCTTACACCCGTCTCCCCTTTCCAAGAACAAGGGGAACTGAGACCGAGTCTTTGTTATTTCGAGGAAGACCCAGTGGTCTGTTTCATCTAAGCTGCATAGATACTGAAAAACTTTCCAGGCCAGAACTGTCCCATCTTTATGCTGCGAGTTGTGTTGTCATAAATTAAATCAGTCTCTGGGATAGTGCTCTTTCCTTTTTTTAAATTGAATCACTGTGCTACCAAGTTAATTGTTGAGTTTCAGGTATGCAATGTGCTAACAAATACCAGGCCCTTCACCATGACACAATGCTCTTAATTACTACTGTATGATAATTATTCTTGGCTAAGCATATGTGATTTAGAGCTGACTTCATCCTGAACCATTTTTCATGTTTTTTTTTTTTTTTTTTAGGTTGATGGTCGACTCACTTACCCAGCTTGTGGGATAGGCTATCCTGTGTCCTCGGCATTTGCATTCCAGAATACCTTTCCTCACCCTATAGCTGCAAAGAATGCCATCCACCCAGCTTCTGGACCAAAGGTACATAACCAGATCAATGTTTCAGAAAACATGTTTTCTTAGAAATAGAACAATATATTAAAATACAAATATTTTGTGTCTTTAGATGTTTAGTATAATTGATTCTTTGATGAATAAAAATTCATCCTCAGATGCTAAAACATTTTAGGTGATGTGTTACTGAATGTTTAGTACATAAATTTATAGAAAATGTACTGACTAGGCATTTGATTTAATTTTCATTCGTAACGTTGGGTCTAAATTGAGTTTCCTCCTACATCTGAGGAACATTTAAAATAACTTTTTTTTTTTCAGTGAAGAAAATGGTTTTGTTAAATTTACTTAGTGCGGTGTGAGGGGAAAGGAAGAGAGTAAATTTCAAGAGAGAATAAGGGCTTCTCCAGAGAGGAAAAAGACAAAATACATATTTTTTTAAAAAAAAAATTAAAAGAAAAAGTTGTTAGTAGGGTGTCTTCTTTGAGCCAGGAGTGGATATGGCAGGCCCTGCCTTTGATACTAACATGTTGCCCTGAGCACTGCCAGGAGCACCCTTGAGTAACACAGGGGGTGACCCCAAAACAACCAAGCAAATGTGAAAATTTTAGGGGTTTCCCTAGTGGTAGTAACTGGGAAAGTGGCTTATAGGATGCAATTCAGGGCCTCTTTTGTGCAGATAAAACATATTTTGACCTAGTTCCTGGCTCCTTGCTACATTTTAAGCCAGTATGTATGACTAGCTACAGGATGGAAAGACTATGCAAAGGTAAATAACTCCTTGTGGTACTTAGTTTTAAGACTATTACATTTGTTGAATGTATTTGTGTTCATGTTTTTGTTTCAATGCAATTATTTTAAAAATTGTTGTGTTCATCTTGACTAGGTCAGTAACTTTTTTGGCAGGGAGAAATCAGATCTTTTATTATTTTTAAATTTAAAATTAAATGAAACCTTCATTACAATTTGTGTTTATGTTGTAAGATATAGGTTGAGACTTAAGCTTATTTGGTCTAGATTTATGAAAGAAATATTTTTTTACCATCTGTCTCAGTTTGCACTATTCAGTTTTATGATATGCTTTTTCTTGTACAGGTCCAGTTTAACTTGCAGTTTGCAAAACCAAATGCATCACCAGAGATCCATCCAGGAACAGCTCTTAGTGTGCCTGGCTCAGGCGATAAGGAAAAGTAAGTACTTGTTGACATAACATTTAATATTTGCAATTTTAAGTCATCATAAAGATTTTTTTTCCAGAAACAGTGTAAAATCAATAAAAATTGTCAAGCATTTTAATCAGTCTTTGGGAATTTTATTACTTACTCAGGAATTACTCCTTGTGGTGTTCAGGGACCATATGGGATGCTTGGGATCGAACATGGGTCCTTCATGTTCAAGACAAATGCTCTACCCACTATTCTATTGCTCTGGCCCCCATATGGTAAATTTTTACTTTTTAAAGGAAATTCTCCTACAAAGCTGAATTGCCCTTTCAAATACTCTCGGACAAGTATAGTCTTGTTAATGCCTCATTGTCAGTTAACTTTGGTTTTCTGTGTCTGTCTGGCTGTCAAGCTTTCTTTTTTTTTATTCTAATAATAATTATTATTCCATCTGCAAGTCCACTAGTGAGACTGCTAAAATTCTTCGGTAAATAGGCTTGTAGATGTGCCATAGCTTATGTGAATAAGCTTTTAAATCTACTTGTGACTTGTTTTGCCTCCTAAGAGATTCCTTGCCTCTAAGTTTGACCTTAAACAGGTTTTGACTCAGAAAAGGTTGTTCAGTCAGTGAGTTGTGGCACTATTAACTCATATGCAGAATTGTCTCTGGTGAGTTTCCATGACTGTAATACTGTTTTCATTGTCATGCCTTCATACTTAAAATAGTGGTGTTTAGGGCTTGTCTGCTGGCATCTATCCTGATGAGCTCTCATCATTCCAGTATATTACAGACTAAATTACTAACAGGGTTCACAGAGGCTTATCCCAACTGCCTAGCCATTGTTCACTGGCTCTTCAAAATTGGCACAAAGGTGCACCTTGAAATAGATTGTGAGCCTCCTTTTTTTTTTAACCTTTTGGGTAACACCTGGTGATGCACAGGGTTTACTCCGGCTCTGCACTCAGGAATTACTCCTGGCGGTGCTCCGGGAACCATACGGGATGCTGGGAATCGAACCCGGGTCAGCCGCATGCAAGGCCCTACCTGCTGTGCTATCACTCCAGCCCCAAGAGCCTCCTTTCTTAAAAAAACATTCTTTATGCAGGCCAAACAGTACAGTGGGTAGAGCATTTGACTTGCATACAGCTGATTCAGGATATGCCTCCAAAACAAAAACTTGTTTTGAAGTTCTGATATGTACATAATTGATTTTTGTTTTTGTATCATACCTGACAATGCTCGGGTCTTATTCCTGAGTTTGTGCTCAGTAATTACTCCTGGCAGTGCTCAGGGACCATATGGGACCCCAGGGGTCAAACCCAGTTTGGCCGTATGCAAGGCCAGTGCTCTATTCACTGTACTATCTCTCCAGCCCATACATAATTGTTTTACTTAATTCATACTTGTTCAGGAGGAAGAACACCTAGAAAATTCTTTTTTTTTTTTCCTTCTTAGATTTTTATTAGTGAAACACCATGAGGTACAGTTGTAGACTTACAAATTTTTGTGCTTGGGTTTCAGTTATACAATGATGCCCATTCTCCACCACCACCAGTCCCAGTATCCCTCCCTCCCCTCATCCCCCATCCCACCCTACCTCTGTGGCAGGGCATTCCCTTTTGTCATCTTTCTCATTTTGAGAGCTGTACACCTAGAAAATTCTTATTGGTAGAATACCATAATGATTATATATTTCAGTATATCATATACACTGATAAGTTTTACTTGCAGAAGATTTTATGTAGTACAAAATCAAACATAACTGAGTGTCTAAAATTAGGACCATTCAACTATTTTAGGTTTTTTTGATTAGAGCTGGTTATTGGTGGAGAAAAGTGGCAGTGCATAATAAAGCTTGAAAAGAATGTCAAAATTTTAAAACACCTATTTGACTACTTGCTTTCTAAAAATTGGGGGGGAAAGTCACTAATAATTCTAAGTCTGCAATGTTATTGATTTGCAAGAGCCTTTAACATTTTATTATCACTACTAGAAAATCAACTTTAGAAAGACGGTAGGAAAGGGTGAGATACTATTAAAATGGTTCTTTTAATGTTTATTATTTGGGACCTCCCAAGTATTGTTAAGGGGGCTGGATGCCCGTTTCTGGGAATGCTCTGTCTGGTATAGGGGTACAGACAGTTCAGTGCTCAGATCCAGCTCTGGAGTGTTGGTCAGTGGTGGGGTTACCAGGCAACCCCTCTAATTCTCTGGGGGCCAGCAGGGGTACAGCTGGCAGTGCTCACGGCACCATGTGGCGCCGGGGACTAAACCAGGAGCAGCCACACACATAGCAGGTTCCTCAGTCCCGGTGCCATTTCTCTGACTCTATAGATTACTCCTTCCTGGTAAAGTATTGCTAACTTATCTGTATAAGAAACTTATTAAGTATGTGATTTGTTTTTGAGCAAATGTCGAGTATTAGCATCGTTATATATAGTATCTATATATGAGATGACAATCAGAACAACTATTTAAAAAGTAACGTTTGATTAAAATAAGCGAATTACTTTTTTTTCTTTGTAGTGGTGAAAGTTCAGGGCTGGAACCTAAGTATCTGAAGAAGAGGGAAGATAGCATTCCTTTACGCGGGCTCAGCCAAAATCTGTTCAGTAATCCAGGTAAAATGACACTTCTGAAAAGAATTGTTCATTGTTTAAAATTACATGCGTGTAAAGACCAGGGGAAATCAAGTGTCCTTGCCCTCCTTTGCAGAGCACCCCAAAGAATGCACGCTAGCAGCACTGCAGCCCGCCAAAGCAGCGGGGTTCCCCTCCCCAGCGTCCGCCTACTTTCCCGCTCAGCCACCCAGCAGCTGATCTGAGTATCGTCTTGCCTTAGTAGAGAAATTCAGCTGCTTTCTGAATATATTAACTTGATGGAATCGAAACAAGCATCTTTCCGTGTTTACTGGAGCTACTGGATTAGACCGCTGGTAGACCGCTGGCTCCTTCAGGATATTGTCATTGATGGTAGAAGTTTAGAAAGGTAAATTTGTGCTTGGAGATTGGTGAGGATTCTGAGTAACCAACACATTTAATTTGTGAGCTTAGAATGTTTTGTGGACTGGTACAAATGTTACTAAACTAGTCCTTACACATTCTTAGAAATTTTAAGGAAAGAGTCTTTACCTTTAAGAGACTTTCTAATCATACTATGCAGGTAAATTAAAACCTGCACAGAAGTAATCTGAAGCCAAAGAATGCTATTTTCATTGGTAAAATAAAAATTATCTTTTCAGGGGACTATATTATTATTTACTGTAAAGGGTACTTACTGAAATTACCTTAAATGAAATGAATTTTTCATACCAAGTATTTCTTTTAAAACCTTCAACTAGGGTCCGGAGCAATAGTATAGCGAAGAGGGTTTTTGCCTTGTGCACAACTGATCCAGGTTCAGTCCTCAATATCCCATATGGTTCCTTAAGCACTGCCAGGAGTAATTCCTCAGTGCAGAACCAGGAGTAGCCCCTGAGCAATCATGCTGGATGTGACCCCAAAAGCCAAAACGCAAACCAAACAAAATCCTTCACTATTATGTTTGATTAAATTCTAATCACTATATTGCAATGCATATGTGTGACTAGGTGTATAACTTGATTTAGCTATTTAACTCAGTAAACTGAGTTACAAAGATTTTAAAGCTTCTTGAAAGCCTACACATCCAAACTTTTTTTTAGAGAACTTTATTTTATTTATATATATTTTAAAGATATTTTTGTGAGGCACCATGATTGACAAAGTTATTCGTGACTGAGTTTCAAGCACACAATATTCCAACACGATTCTTTCTCCAGGGTCTAGATGATGCCAGCCCCAGAGTCCCTCCCACCCCCCAGCTGGTCTCTGTGCCAGACTCTATTGCCTGCCTGAGGCACGTTTGTGGTGCTTCCTATGTTTCCCTGGCCCCTCCCGGCACCGCCTTTTGCTTCAGAGTGGCTCTTTCCCTCCCCTGTTGTTGCACACACATCCAGTTTTTAGTTTTCATTGGCATTTCATTAATTTTTTATGCAATTAAATCTGAATATGTGGAACTTGAAGAATCTGTGCTACCAAAATCTTTTCTCTAAGAACATAACATTCATTGTGGGTTTTTTTTTTTTTAATATATTAAGTGGTTTTCGCTTTGTTTGGGAATTCACACTTGGTACTGAGAGGCTGTGCCCACTGCGGTGCCCTCCTGGTGGTGGTCAGGCAGTACGGACAATCCAGCCTGGAAGGTGGTGTGCACGATAAGGACCTTAACCCTATACCATCTCTCTGGCCCCAGACACGCTCATTTGAAAGTATAGTTACTGAAGCAGGCAAAATGAAAGACTGTTAAAATATTCTTCTCTTCCTCTGTAACTGGAAATTTCAAGTAAGAATTGTTCCTTGAGGAAAATTAGGCATTATTAAAAATTCACCCAGAATTGCTAAAGGCCCTATTTCTTCTTGGCTTCTTGAGAAATCCCTAAATCTGGGGGCTGGCGCGATAGCGCAGGGGATAGGGCATTTGCCTTGCATGAAGCTGACCCAGGTTCTATTCCCAGCATCCCATATGGTCCCCGAGCACCGCTAGGAGTAATTCCTGAGAGCATGAGCCAGGATTAACCCCTGTGCATCACCAGGTGTGACCCAAAAAGCAAAAAAAAAAAAAAAAAAAAAAGAAAAGAAATTCCTAAATCGATTCTGTCTTTGCATAGATGGCTAGTGCTCACGATATTTAAATAATTATTTTCAAGGACCATATTAAAACAGGAAAGTATTTCAAGTAACATTCCTGTTACTAAGTTCCCAGTAAGACAAAGAATCCTGACTAAAATTTTAAGTTATGACATTGCAGCATACTGTTTTGAAACTATTGGTAATTTCAAGTGGACTTAAACTAAAATGTTAGTAACCACAATTAGGCATTTTCTTTTTTCCTCACTTAGATGTATCTTATTCGTAAGGATACTTGGTTACAGTGACGTAAAAGCACTTGTGTTCTGCAAAGAAACCTAGAATCAGCTTTCTTGTAAATAGCTGTAATATAAATGAGTACAGGGTTTGAAGAAGACAACTAATATGCAGTAGTTCTTCCCTTTTTAAAGAATTCCTTTTGCAGCCGGGCAGCATGCCAGCAGGTAAAGTGCTTGCTGTGCACTCAGGTCCATCACCAGCACATCTGCTCCCTATAGTGGGCCCGGAGTGAGAGCCCCTCTGGGGTGCAGTCCCTCCCCATAATTTTTCTTTCCATTCCACAACCAAACACGAAAAACTGGAATGTTCCAGAAGATGGGATGGAGATAATTTTTATAAAACTGCTAGACTGTTTTTTTTGTATTAAGGGTGTATGTATATATATATGCATATATACAAGTGTGCTCTACCTCTTAAACTTATTTGAAATTGTTTTACAGTGTAAAATTGTACATGTGTTAATAATCAGAATGTTGCATTTAATGTATTTTGTAAACAGCTTTAATATTAATAAAATGTTAATATCTGGGAAATATGACATGTAAAAAGTGTATAAAACATCATCATAATCAACAATTTTTCTTTTCTGCCTATAAATTTGTTTCAGTTAATTGTGAACTAGGTTGTTGGGCTTATTTTCTTTGCTTTGTCTTCCTATTTTTCAGTTGGGGAAGAAATGGTCAGGGAATGGAAATGGATTCACAGGGAGAAAACATCAAGCTTTGACTTGTTACTGCAAAAACTATTAGGTAACAAACAAAGCCAGACTCAGCCCTAGAGATACTCAGAGATCAAGACTTTCTTTTTTAAAAAATCATTAAAATATTTAATTTTATTAACAGAATATTTACATTTAAGACCTTATCCATAGTGAATGTTCCAAGTTTAAAAAGCATTAAGCAATAACCACGCACAAGATGAAAACAGTGTAAACTATACAATACTTTATGTACAATTTTTACAAAGTAACACTTTTTTAAATAATATAACTGGACACAAAAATATACACTTTAGAGAAGAAATTCACATCAGTAATTGTATAAAGCTCTCTCCTAGGGTCCTGAAAATTTAGGACAAACATTAGCTGGGTAAATAAAGTGTTACTGTGACAGCAGTCCTCAAAGGCCACTATATGTATATGTATATTCATCTACTATGGAGATCACACCAACGGTTTCAAGGCTACCAGCTGTACTATAGAATTCCAGATTATGTATTCAAGTGTTGAGGCTCTTATGATTATGCAAACATGAAAAAAATAGTGGTGTAAGTAGCTGGGGGACAAATTTGAGCCAGCATTAAATTCATAGGCTCTTAAACACCCCCATTTAAATTCTAAATGGCTGATACTTTTTTCATTTCAAAAATAGTAGTGAATAATGTGTAACACAAAATTACTACAAATGAGCTTGAAACATGATTCAGATTAATATTATTTTCTTAAGAGTTCTTTTTAAAATGCAAACAATTCATTTACCGTTTCTTTAGTGCATCTGCATTAAGGCTTTGAATTATTTGACCCAAGATTTTACAATATTAAAATCTGACTCAGTATTTTAAAACGTTAAGCTAGTCCACAACCGTATCATGTACTCTGTCTCACTGTGTGTCAGCATAGAGTTAAAGCTCAACACCTGAAGGAAATGGTAGCAGAGACATTGCTAGGATCTAAGGAGTTACATATATAGTTTTTAATTAAAGGATGTATATAATAAAACAAATAGTTTAGTGGCAAGAAATTGGTGCTCATAAACAAAAGGTTTCTTTTCAAAAGAAATTGTAACATCTTTGGAAAACTGACCGGTTCTTTCTTTAGTTCCCACGGAGTTCATGCAGATACATTTCTTAAGACAACCGTAATGTGTATTTTAGATGGAAATGGAATGTACATCCAGAACTACAGGTGAAAACTAAGACCTGGGCATGGATAAAAAAGTCTTCCTGATTTCGGGCATCACACGTTTGTGTCCTGGAGTAAAGGTTCTTTGGCCTCTCCCGGTGCTTGTGTGCTGTGAGGATGGCTGTGGCTGCCACAGTGCTTTCTCCAGCTGCTGGACCGTAAGCTTAGATTGGTATGTTCCGGAATAAACAAGGCAACAAGCAGGGCCAGCAGGACTGAACAGGCTCCGAAGAGGAAGGGGGGGCCAGGGATGATGGAATTCTGAGGAAGAAGAAACAGAATTTCTGTGCAGACATCTTAAAAGAAATTGCTTATCTTTTAGTAATAACTGCTGTGAATTATGAGACAGCGGCAATTCTCAAAATCACAGAAAAAGCATTCCCATTCCAGGACAAAGGAGACATACATGCTTTTCAAGATACAATTCCAGCACTAATAATAACTAAAAGAATAGCACCAAAAGGGTTTTTTTTTTTATTTTTTAAACAGTCTACGCAAAAATACTAAATTTGTCATGGTACAAATCTGATCTTACGAGGTTTTTTTTTTTTCAAGAGGAAAGTAGAAAATTTATTGTTTTAGTGTTTGGGGGTCGAAGGGGTGGGAGAGGGGAGCCTCCACACAGTACTCAGGAAACTCAAGGAGCTTCTGCCCAGCAGGTTGGCGATGGTACTTGGGGCTTGCTGCAGCTGATCTGCCACATGCAAGGCCTGGAACCCTGTACTACACCTTTGGTCTCAACAGAAAGGTCTAAACAGCAGCGACGTAGCAGACAATATTAAGTGTGCGCAGCCGAATCAAGGACCAATTTTCTTGTTTTATATTCTCTAGGATAATTATATCTCTAGTGACTAAAGGAAAGTGATTCCTATTACCATGTGAAGAGGTAAACAATGACTGCTCCATCCAAAATTACATGCTTGGCAAAACTTGCACTGCCAGTTTTACCTGTATATAACCCACATTCTGTTTTATTTAAAAGTAGTCTTAGCTGGTTTGAGGGTTAGGTAGAATTCTAAATAAACAAGGAAGCTAACGAAGCTGTTTGCACTGGCTAAAATAAGGCTGTTTGCCGTTAACATTTTCAGTTGTAGTTTCCTTGTCACTGATCATCAGTTCAAATGTGGAAATAAAAGTGGATTAAACAAAAGAATAAAACCAACCCCCTTTTCAGTTGTAAGGGGGTTGGTGGGTGGGGCGGTGTAGCGAACTGGTCCTCACACAGAAGGCAGCTTACTCAGAGCTGCACAGAGGAGGGCAATGGCAGCACAATGCTCTGTGACCTTAGGTATACACGAAGGCATCTAAGTCAGCTTTAGTTTGAAGGGAAAAATGAAATGTGCGGAACCAACTTCACAACGAGGCAAACAGGAGAATACAGTTTCCTATGGTGAGTTTTTTCAAGCGTTTCATCAAATGTAAAGCATTCATAAAAGCTTCAGTGAGCAAACACTAACATCTTTCAGCTGGGTCAAATAAATTCCATTTCTGTCACAGATGAAGTTACCTGCTCAAAGTGGTGCTGCGGACTTGTGTTCGTTCCTAAGTCTGTTCCTGTCATTGGTAGTTCTTTCAGTTCCACGTGAAATATGTAGAAAATAAATCCATAGAGAGCTGGTCCTAAACCATTGCACAACCCTCGAATTCCTGTTATCATTCCTTGAACAACACCTAAAAAAAATAAATTATGGCCTTAGGACACAACTTTTCTTTTTTCTACCACAGGGTAAGTATTTAATCACAATATGAATGCAAAGTTTGTATCTGCACCAGCAACTTACTGTGATGGAATTACACATTACTTAGAGGATCCAGGTGATAGTGTAGCAGGTAGGGCATTTGTCATGTATATGGCCAACCCAGGTTTGATCCCCAGCACCCCATATGGTCCCCTGAGCACCGCCAGGAGGAATTTCTGAGTGCAGAGCCAGGAGTAAGCCATGAACATCACTGTGCCCCCAAACCAAAACACCAAAACCAAAATTACTTAGAAGCTTAGGTGTGGGTGGAGGTGAACTCAGTTAGGTCTAACTGAGCAGGAGTCCAGAGAGATAATACAGCGAGAAGGGCCCTTAACCTGGCATGTGGCTGACCTGGGTTCAATTCCTGATACTACATATGGTCCCCCAAGCCCACCAGGAGCGACCCAGGGTGCTGAGCCAGGAGTCAGCCATGATAACAAGCAGCTGGGGCTCCAACACACACAAATAAAGTGGAAGTAGGTAAAGGGACAAACGATAATCTTTCAGAACTTAATGCCCAAAAGGGGGGGAGGAGGAAGAGGGGAAGAGAGATTCCTGCCTTAGAGGCGGGGGGTGGGGGGGGGGAGAGGGAGGGAAGAACTAGAGACAGTGGTAGTCTGAAATGTGTATCATGGTGATTCAGAAAAAAAATCAAGTAGGCAAAAGCACTTTATTTTCACCTTTTAGAAGTTCCCTGCCTAAAAATCAGCATGATCTTGTTAAACATTTCCATTTACGAGCTGGAATGACAGTACAGCAGGGTAAGGCAGTTCCCTTGCACACAGCTGACCCTGGTTTGGTCATTGGCATGCCATGTTTCCCCCCCAAATCTTCCAGGAGTGATTCCTGAGTGCAGAGCTAGGAGTAACCCCTGAGCATTGGCTGGGTGGACCCCTCCCCAACCCCGCCTCCCTCCTACCCCCCAAAGCCCTCACTTCCATTTAAATATAGGAGCTTTTAATAAGGTGAGTTTTAATTTGTCTTAAGGACCTGTCAAATTCAAAAGGCAATTTGTTGTGGTCACTAGTTTTTTCTTCTTTGTCACACAGGTGGCCACCGTTGTGCTCCTTTTTCTCATGACTAGACAAACAGATTTTTTTTGAGAATTATGACTGGTCACTTATTGCAATAACCAAATGCTCCCACCAAAACTGCATCTAGACATGTTTGCTGTTCATGTGGTGTGGTGCCCAAAAAATTTTACAAAAATGTCTGAGTATATATAAAGATGTCCAGCATACGGCAATAAACACTTAAGTGGTAAGTGGCTTGAGAAAAGGCCTGCTAATAAGTCATAAGCTGATTGTGATAGCATTTTAAAAAATATTTGACCCAGTCAAAACACTGGGGACAAGGCCAGAGAGAGAATACAGGGCCTAAGGTGCTCGCCTGTGTGTGTGCAGCTACAACCGTGGGTCTGAATCCCCAGCACCACACGTGGTCTTGGAGCAGCACCGGAGTGAGCTTGAGCCCAGGGCCAAGGAATGCCTCCGGGCACTGTCAGGTGAGCCCCCACTCCGCTCCCTTGACAGGAATACACGAGGGTCTGGAAGACAGCCAATCTTAATCACTAAATTTTCTAGCAAAAGGTCACTTGGGAGGCCAGAGTGAGCAAGTCCTGGGGCCAGTGCCTACATTTTAGTAGCATCCCCGTGTGTCCCTGGCACAAATAGCCTCTAGCACTGTTGCAGGGCACCACACCACATGCTCAATCCCCAAGGGTGAACTGCCTAGAACCCCCTGGGGGCCCTTTGGCTGCCTCAACACTGCCTGAGAGGAACCCTCTGTCTCTCCCCTTCAACAGATAAGCTGCACCTCATATTCAAATTGAGACAAGATTATATATTGTCCATTAATAACACCCTAGAATCTGCTTTTCTTTCTTTTTTGCTTTTAAAGTTTTTGAAGTAAAATTGTTTTATTCAGGAATCATGAAAGTGAAAAGGGAAACCCCGGAGTGAAGGGGTTCCTTATTCCCAGCTGAAGGGGACATTCCTGCGCAGAGCGGACTTCTCTCTGTTCATGATGATACATAATTTAATGTTTCAGGATTTAAGGGAGGCAAAGGGAGAGTATCTAGTGATAGAACATAGGATCAAAATATTCTTTGCTTTAACTGATTTACTTTGTAGGGGGCCACACCTGGCTATGCTCATAAACATACCTTGTTGGTCAGCATCAGCAGTCCTTGAGACCAGGGCACTGACAGCTGGGAATGTGATGCTGGACATGGCGGCCACGGCCCCCGCTGCCCACATCATCCTAGAGATGGAATGCAAGACAACGAGTGGTTATTCTCTACTGTGTATGTCAAGGTCAGAATACATTCTTAAAATCAAGGAACTCTAACTGTTGAAAGGGTTTTACAGAGGAAAAGGTAACACTGTACTTGTCTCCTACTACTGTGTGACTCTGGGCAACTCATTTTAAAAGTGTTACTTCTTACTGAACCATTTTCAGTAAATTTCTAGAAACAGAAATACAAGAAATTCTAGTGACAAGATATTTTCTTGTAATGTCTATTTACAGAAATGATGAGCTTTTATGTTGGACTACCATGTTCCAAACTGTAAAATGTGGTGGGAATTACTACAGTCTGGAGTGGGTGGGGAGAGGTGCAGAATATAACGCAAAACCACACACAGCTGTACACACACTTGGTGTTTACTCCCAGCTAACCATGGACAGGCATTCAGCTGCGTGGAGCAGTATCAACTGTGCTGTTTAGACCTGTGCCCTGAGCACCGGGAGCTGAGGAGCCATCGGGCACCAGCATGGTCCATCCTGGTGCCTTCAGGAAGCCAAACTGGCAGACTTTCTTTGGCAGACAGCCAGAACCACAGAACAGCTTTTCTCTCTCCTGGTTTGTGTGCTGGTTTCGGTAATGAGCACTAATGGTAGGTACTTAACTCTCTCTCACCAGAAAAACATGAAAGGCAAGAAAGGCTCTAACTTTCAGGGAACTGTTGCTACAGAATCGCACATTTCCCCCCAATACCAAATCTAGACTAAATGCTCAGAGATTCAAAGCTTAATAATCTCATTCAAAACCCCAACCTTAGGAATAAAATGTCCCTTTCTGAATCCTCCAATCATTCTAGAATGGTTAAGTATAAAAGTGAGATTTATATTGTGGATGCTTTGAGATAAAAAAGTGAAGTTAATATGCCTGAATTGTGAAGCAAACAAAAGCAAAAGTTTTTGTCAATTATACCTCAAACCTTTCAAAATAGAGTATGAAAAAGAGCAAAATGTACCTACCAAGGTTCTGAACCGAAGCCATACCAAGCCAGCTGTAATATTTGAAATCCTAGACCCAATAAAATGGTGTTCTTATTTCCAATTGACCTCATAAGTAAACTCAAGACTATGGTCTAGAAAAAAAAAATCAAAATGGTTCATCAAACATTTGAAATCTCAGAAGACTATAAATTATTTGACGACTTCTTTCGATCTAGAATATAAAAGGACAATTACATTTTTGCATATTTTGATTTTTCAGCTATACTACTTGAGCATCTGAGACCATTTCTGTGTCTTCTACTGACACAAATTCAGAGAAAAAGAAAACAGTCTGAAATTTCCATTCAATATACTTCTATTGGGCTGGAGCGGTATTCGCCTTGCACGCAGCCAACATGGCCGACCCGAGTTCGATTCCTCCGCCCCTCTCGGAGAGCCCGGCAAGCTACCGAGAGTATCTCGCCCGCAAGGCAGAGCCTGGCAAGCTCCCCGGGACGTATTCGATATGCCAGACACAGTAACAACAAAGTCTCCAATGGAGATGTTACTGGGCCCGCTCCAGCAAATCGATGCGGGAGGACAGTGGACAGTGGAATTTATATTAAATTAAATGAAAAATACTGATTCTTCTGGAGAAAGTTCAACGAGTTCACCAGTTACACATTTATCCCTTGTTTAATCAGTATTTCCCACATTGCCCCCCGCCCTTCCAGCAGCGCAGGATGATAGCTAGTGACAGAGGTGGCAGCTGCCTTGGCTACCGCAAGGGGACACTTTGTGTATGTTCACCTGCAAAAGGCAGATTTCCAAGAGGAAAAGATAAGTGACATTTTTCTCTTCTTTCTTTTAGGGCCACACCCATCTTGCTGGAGGCTTTCTCCTGTCTCTCTGCAAACAGGTTGGGTGGAAGGGAAAGGGAGGGTGTTTGGCTCTGGGGACTAAGCCACAGTCTGCCTGGGCCTGCGAGGCAAGCACTTTATCCCTTATCCATCTGTCTAGTTCAGAGGGCGGCTTTTTCCCTTCTGGAAAGGAGGCACCAGGCCAGTCCCTGTTGTGCTCAGGAGTAACCCCAGAGCTGGAGATGGAACTGGGGTCAGCAGCATGCAAGGCAAGTGCTTACCTCCTGGACTATCACTCTGGCTTTTAATTTTTGATGAGATTATTATGCTTTTACAATCAGTTTAATAAATGACTGGGGGGGCAATACAATATAACTAAGAACACAGCCTTGTACAGAGCAGATCATAAATCCTGTCACTGTCACTGTCCTCCCGTTCATCGATTTTGCTAGAGTGGGCCCAGTAACATTGTGAGACTTGTCAGTTACTGTGTTTGGCATATCGAATACGTCACGGGGAGCTTGCCAGGCCTACGCAAGACAATTCACTCTGACACTTAGTTCTGTCTCTTACAAATGGTGATAAACATAATCTACAAGTTTGTCATATGTATTAGAGAATTACATAAAGACTTTAGCAGTGAGCTTTGAATTTAATAGGGTATTATGAACCGGTGGGTTTTCTCTCAATGCTAAAAGGTAAAGGTAAAGGCCCTCCCATTGATCGTCGATTTGCTCAAGCGGGCCCAGTAACGTCTCCATTGGAGACTTTTGTTGTTACTGTGTCTGGCATATCGAATACTCTCGGTAGCTTGCCGGGCTCTCCGAGAGGGGCGGAGGAATCGAACTCGGGTCGGCCATGTTGGCCGCTTGTAAGGCGAACGCCCTACCGCTGTGCTATCGCTCCATCGTTAAGAAATGATATAGGATCAATAAAAATATTTTGTTCCTTTCTAATTAAAATTTTAGAGCAGGAGTGATCACGATCAGCACTGACCAGGAGTAAGCTGAGCATTCTGGTGTGACTCAAACCCAATAGTAATAATAACAACAACAACAACAACAACAACGTTAAATATATAAAATAAACTTATAAATCCATAGAGGAAGAAACAAAAATCACTTGAGAATCACTATTTGATGACTGGCTGATACTGTAAATTTACAACTGTCAAAAGCAGGGTTAAAAATCTTTGAGACAGGGGCTGGAGCGATAGCACAGTGGGTAGGGCGTTTGCCTTGCACGCTGCCAACATGACCGACACAGGTTCCATTCCCAGCACCCCATATGGTCCCCTGAGCACCGCCAGGAACAGTTCCTGAGTGCATGAGCCAGGAGTAACCCCTGAGCATCGCCGGGTGTGACCCAAAAAGCAAAAAAAAAAAAAGAAAAATCTTTGAGACAGTCTACAGGTTTAATAAGGTTTGATCACAAGCCAGTGGAAAGCAGATGCTGGGGGCATGGGGGTGGGAATGCATAGTTGGGTGCTGGGCCACACCCAGCAATGCTCAGGGCTTACTCCTGGCTCTGCTTTCAGCGATGCTTGAGGGACCATATAGGATGTTGGGGATGGAACCCAGGTTGGCCGGGTGCAGAGCAAGCATTCTACTACCCACTGTACTATTTTTCCTGCCCAAATAAGTCTTTTCCAAGCTGCTGAACTTTGTTCTCTGAGATTTTCTCTTCCATCACGTAAGCTGTCATCAGACTGAGCTGTCCTAGGCTGGAGCCTTGCTGGACTGCGCCCTCCCGCCACCACAGCCACGGAGGAAATCAATATACGCAGTGTGCAAGGCCGAAAAGATTCAGTGTTTCTTAGCTTAAGATAACTCGATTTTGGAACTGAGAGAACTAATTCCAATGGCTAAATGACATAACTAAGATGAGTCAGCTAGTTAACAAACCATGAACTGTCATCCGCTGTGGTCAGTCAGTCAAGTATTTACCAAATTTCTACAATATCCAACTTCGAGCTTCGGAGTACACTGACGTAAAGGTTAGAGAACAGGTCAAAGGTATGTCAGCAAAAAAGATGACCTGACAGGTGAGGGCAGACACACAGAAATGTACTCATGGAACCACGCAGTTTCGGGTTCAAGCTGTTGGGAAGGGGATCTGGGAGCGAAGCTTCTGGAGTCCAGGGCAGTGGAAGCCTGGGGGCAGGTCAGAGGCACACTGCTGCTCCAGGGCCCAAAGCGGGGAGGGGGGGGGCGTCCCCGCTTCCCGCCCTCCGGGCAGCAAGTTCAAAGGTCCCAAACCAGCTCAGCAGCAGGTGGGGTGGAGGAAAATGAGGTCACAGCAAGAGCCTCATCTTAGTTACAACAGAAAGTAAATTTTAAACAAGAGCCACGGTGACACTGTCACTTTGGCAGACTGAGTGAGAAGCACGGAAGCAGACCTGAGTCCACTGCCCACGGCTGACCTGGGCTCCTGCAGCAGACGCGGAGAGTAACGCCTGGATTCACAACTGATTCTGAGGTTACAGCTGACAGGCGAGACTCTGCATGGGCATACTGGACGTGGCGTGGCATGGCGTGGCGGGAAAGAAACCACGGAGGCCACTCCGGGAGACAGGGCGGCTCAGCGGAGACCTCGGCAGCCTACCTGAGGCCCTGTGTTCTGGTCATATGAGTGCACAGCAGCTGCGTCAGCTCAGGGTTGGCCGGAGGGTTTCTACTTGGGAGCCACCACCCCAAATGAGAGCATGGAGGAATGTGGAGCACTAAACCCATGCAATCAGTAAACCCTGGTTTACTACGATGCATTATTATTCTTTGTCTAGAGACAAAGAAGTGATAGGAATTAAGGCAAACCAAAAAGCCCAAACGGGGACAGGAAATACTTGACTCTGACTGATGGGTCTGTGCAGTGTTACTAGACCTAATACCAGCACATCTGCACTTTCGGATCACACCGGCCATTTTAAATGCTAATTTTAAAGCATTCCAACACTATGTAATGGGCCCAGGGATCGCTCAGGGGCCAAGTGCCAGCCTTGGAAATGCGAGATGGCAGTTCTCATCCGTCTGGGATTCCCAGCACGACAGGAAAGTTTGCAATGCAATCAACTGCATGCAAGCACCGCAGGCCAAGTGTGTGACTGCTAGTCCCTGCAGAAAAATCCCTCTGAACTTTAGTTTAGCACCTGCCGGGACAGGGCAGGGTGCTACATTGACTCCAGAGAATGTGATATAAGCCTGACTCACAACCTACTCAGAGCTCTACAGGGTGGTCAGTCGACCATGGGGAAAATAACAATAAATAAGTAAAAACTTTGCCTACACTGTATTCTGCACAAGTTCAGAAATGACCACGTGCTCTGGGAGCTCAGAGAAGGGAAAATTAGAGTAGAGGAACAAACAGGAAGCAGTAGCAGAAATGAAGATCCAAGGACAAGCAGGAAAAGAGGCATAAACTGGTCCACGGCCAGCCCTGTCCTGCGAAGCAGCGTGAAGACACTGACCATCCTGAGAGAGGGGGGTCAATGGTGTCACAAACAAGAATTTAGGTCATTTCTTAGCCTTCTAACACCTGTTCTACTTAATATTTTAGTTGCGCTAATGACATAAACTGCAACTATCAGGAGTCACGGGGACAGCTCTGTGGGCCAAGCCCGGCACCACAGAATCACCTGTGCACGAAGCAATCTGGATGTGCCCACAGCTATCCCTCCCCACATCCCGAAGAGCTAAATAAAACCAAACACACTCTCTCTCTCTCTCTCTCTCTCTCTCTCTCTCTCTCTCTCTCTGTAGGAGAGAGGATAGAAGGTGTAGAATATATCATCTGCACCACTGCAAAAAAAGCAAAAGCTAAATAGCAGAAATGGGCATTTTCACAGAAAGAAGACTGAGAAAAAAAAATTTTGATTGTGAAGTAGAGATTGTTTAGAGGCAGAAGAAATACCTCTGAAGAAAATTTAACTTCCTTTGTTAATTCACCTCTGCTTCATCAAACCACCACTGGATTTCCAGGACAGCTGGATGTCATTCGCTCCTTGACTCCAAACCCTCCCCGCCAGCCACAGGCTGCAGGCCCTCAGGGCCACTGTCTCTTCAAACCCAGACCCCATTTCCCGTCATACCACACACTAAAACTGGCCCCCTGGCTACTTCTTCCACAAGTCAGGCACAGTCACTTCGAGTTTCCTTTTTCACTGCTGAGGATTCTGATCCCCCAAACAGTCCCAGGCTTCCTCTTTCCTGTGGGTCTCTGCCCAAGAGTTATCTTGGTCAACAAGGCTTTCCGAACCCTGCCAGATAAAACAAACCCTGCCCCAATCGCATGAGAGCCCCCTGAGCCCTTCATCATTTTCATTACAACTGCTAAGTTTGCACTGACACACATTCATTTTCTATCCCACAAAACTGTATTAAAAAAATTTACTACATATCTCCAGTGCTTGGACACATGAGAGGTATTAAGTAAATATTTGCTGGATGAATAAATAGCAGAATAGGATAAATATTAAACTCTTGTTTATACATCGTTTATTGTTTAATATGTAAGTCCCCCAAATCTTATCATACTAACAATCGAGTTTCTAAACCTACAAACACCAGTGATGCCACTAAGATCTGCTCACCGAGCACAGTCAGCAGGCCACCCTCTGTGCCACACACAGTCACGCAGGGACCCACCTGTGCGATGATGGAGAGGATCCCGAGGACCGCTATGAACGCTGCGACACTTTCCGGGGAGAACTTCATTATCTAGAAGGTTTTCAGAAAAAATAACAATAAATGAAAAAGTACAACAAACAGAATACAAAAGAAGCTACTGTTTTGTCCTAATATTGATTTGTTCTAACAGACTATATAAAATTGGCAAGAAAAACAAATCTTGATAACCCAAGAATGCATAGGAGGAAGTATCTGGCTTCCACTATAAGCCAGAACTACTAATATCCTAAAAAAAATTTCTATTCAACTTAAGATTAAGTCTAAATCACTTAAATCAAACTGATTAAATTACAGACAGCTAACAGCATTCAGAATTCATTTTATATACTATATACCATTTTGGGCTTCTTACTGATGAAAGTTTGATCTCTGCTTTGTAAGGTTAGTGCCAAATGCTCTCATTTTGGCTAGCTGATTTATTAATACGTACTCTAAATAGGAGTAAAGAGACTGGAGCAGGTGAATTAATTTCAGTAACTATAAACAATATACAAGTAAACTCAAACCACATATATTATGGGGAAACTATCTTTTTGCTTAAGCCCAAGTCTTAACAGAAAAGCATAAGGAACATCAGCAGCATTAAGTACAAAGTTAATTCCAATAGACTGCGATTTTAAATAATGGTACCACTCTAATATAACAGCTCATTCAAAGTTAAATATTTTGCTATTATGGCACTAAACAATGTAAGAAAAGTCCATCTTGACAGAGTAGAATTTTACCTGTCTGAGGTATAGAAAAAAGCTGGAATATTGGCCTGCCTCCGGTAAGTAGGAGAGAAACACCGTAATGCAGATTAGCAGCACTATGGAATCTTGGCCCACTTTTTTTAAGGACTAGAACAAGAAAAAGATCGGATAAAAGGTTTTATATCAAAATACTGACCAGTCTCAAGAATTGCAGTGATATTTTTCAGCAGTGTATATACAAGTAGCTAGTTATCTTTTTTTTTTTAAACACATCTTTCCCAAGCTATTCTTAAATGGATTTAAAAATAACATTTTCCCCTCCGATCACCAACTTGTTTCCACCAAAGAACAGCTACAACAAAATATTAGTGCCCTATTAAATTATCATTCAGTTTTGGCAGAGAAGGACATAGCCTAAACTTACTGCAAAGGGGTCAGCCTGTTCCCAGGAAATGGGCGCTCCCCACGATGCCGGCCGCATCTTCTCAGGCAGTGACTCTGGCACAGCAACCAGGATAAAGCAAATATCCAGCAAAGCTATGGCTGTAGCCAGGACCACCACTAAGCTGTCTCCGTACACTCGCCCAAGGTAGGCTCCAATTGCAGGGCTGGTTACCAAACTGGCAGCAAATGTTGCTGAGACCTGAAAAAAATCACGGTGAATAGATTAGTTAGGTACCTAGCTCCAACACACAAAACTCAGGCTGGTCTGCTGGGAATGTGGGAATGGCTCCAATTAAAAAAAAAGAAAAGGCAACATTTGAGAAAAAATAACACAAGAATAACATGAGGGTGTATGTCCTCATGCATGTATCCATATACCAGACAACGAAAAAACCACACAACAAAGGAACAATTTACACATGTACTGACATGATTGAACCTCAAAAGACTAAGTGTTCAAGAAGCCAGACACGGAGACTACATTTCATTTAAGTGAAGGTCCTGCCAACTACTGAGATAGACAATGGCTTTGTGTCTGCCCAAGGTCAGGCCCTGGAGAGGTTGGGGGCTGACAGAAATGTGGTTAAAACGGTCTCTCCTGGAGACAGTTGAGCAGGACAGCCCTAGCAAATGAAACGCGGCGACACGCGGCGACTTGGGGTCTCAGAGGATCTTGCACCTGAGCACAACTTGGGGCTCCCAGCTGGGAAGGAGGTGATCAATGACCCTCAGTGCAAAGGCCAGGGAGGGATGCAAGGTCACAGGTGCAAGACAGTGAGCTAAGAAAGTCCAATCCGAATGCAGAGGTATCCTGGGCTGGAGAGGTGGCACAGTGGGGAGGGCAACACAGCCAAGCCAGGTTTGACCCCAGCCTCACATATGGTCCCTTAACCCCACCAGGAGAAAGCCCTGAGCACTTCCACACTCCCGGTGTGGCTTTAAACCCCCGCTCTCAACAAAACATTAAGTCATAAAACATTTTTTCTACATCTTTCCATCAGATACAAAGGTGTAGGATAAATACTTACCAGTCCATAAGCCATACTTCTTTCGTGTTCTTGGGTTATATCTGCTACATATGCAAATACCACGGAGAAAGTCACTGCAAAAACTCCAGAAACAGAAATAACAGCGAAGTACCACCTAAGATTGAAAGATAATTAACAAGAAATGGTCAAAACAATGATTATTATACTTCAATTCCACTTACCTCTAAAGTGAATTAAAGAACAGCTAACTTGCTTCAAGTTTACTGGTAATTTATAGAACTGTAGCACTGCCCTCCCGTTGTTCATCGATGTGCTTGAGCGGCCCAGTAACATCTCCATTGTAACTTATTGTTACTGTGTTTGGCATATCAAATACGTCATGGGTAGCTTGCCAGGCTTTGCCGTGCAGGCGAGGTACTCGCGGTAACTTGCCAGGCTCTCCGAGAGGGGCGGAGGAATCGAACTCGGTTCACCCGGGTTGGCCGCAAGCAAGGCAAACACTCTACCTGCTGTGCTAATACATTTATTCAATCACCTCTGTAGAATTAGAATCTGATTCTTACAAAAAGCAAGTTATAGAAACATAGTTTTCTCTCCACCTTCATTTTAAAACTTTGCCAGATGGCTTAGAACAAACCTGGCTTGTTCTTTTGTATAAACACAGCAAGATTAATTCTATAAATCACAGTCACAGATATCAAAAAAATACAGGACAGAACAGGGCTTTTATAGCAATTAAGACATAATGTAGAAATATTTAAAATCAGCTAATGTATTCAGGCCAACTGTTTACCCAACTGTTGAATTATTAGTTGCATAGTTTTTGTTTCAACTAAAAAGAGTAACAATCAAAAGTCATCTCCTAATTTTTACCACAGTAAAGTGTAAGTGTCAAAACTCAGTAAGTAAAGCTAAAGACTAAGTGACTGTGTATTTATGGCAAGTCTGCATACAGAAACTAGCGCGTTTCTGGGCATTAGCTCTGGTTCTTCAGACAGTCAATTTTTCCCCCTTTGTGCTGCTGGTGGTCCTCACACACATAAGACAAACACTCAACCATGAAGCTAGACCCCCTGGTCCTTCTGCTCTTCATATGTCAGCAGAACAACTCAGTCTTCACAGGAAAGAAATCTGCATGGCAGTTTTCTTAAAATTGAGAGGTTACAATAAAAAGTGACCGAAAGACATTTACTATCTAGAAACCTGGATTTCATCATGCATAATTTCAAAACACCTGGCAGGGAATAAAATGTTTCTATTGCAACTCTAATTTAGTTTTTCAAATCAAGCATAATCATTATAAAATCTCCAAATATCTTTTCTTCCATTTTGGTTTCTGAGCCACATCCAGCAATGCTCAGGGTTTTCTCCTGGTTCTGCATTCAGTAATTGCTCCTGGTGGTGGTCAGCATACAATATAGGATGCTGGGAACTGAAACCAGGTCAGCCATGTGCAAGGCCAACAACCTTCCACTACTATAACTCTGGCCCCAAAGTCCCCAAATAATCATTCTACCAGGACTTTACTACTTATCAAATTTTTTCTAATACATTGCTTTCCATAGCAAATTCTTTGCTGCCTCCTACCACTCTCACCTTCTCCTCCCTCCCCCTCTCTCTTCCTCCCTCCCTCCCCCTCCCCCTCCCCTTACCCACCCCCCACCCCCCTCTCATATTACAGTTTGCAATATAGAAACTGAGAGACATTTACTATCACCACACATAATTTCAAAACACCTGGCAGGGAATAAAATCATGTTTGGTCCTTTGTCCACTTTCAGCACACATCTCCCATCACAGAGATCCCTTCCAACCAACACTGTCATAATGGCCCTTCTCTGTCTCAATTGCCCTCTCCCCAGCCCTTGATCAAGGTAGGCTTCCAACCATGGAACTTTTGTCCTGGCCTTTTCCAGAATTTTCTTAAAAGCAGGCAATACTCTTTCATCTCGATGCCTTAGTGTGATGTGAGCAGGAGCCCGAAGACATCTCGGACAGCAAAGAATGGTGGAGCAAAGACTGAGAAGTCCGTTCCCTGGAAATGTAGCCACTTTGGACTGCTCCATCTGGAGAGAGCGACTATGTTCCCTTGATTTTGAGTATTTTGGGTTTTCGTGATACATAACCTATTCCATGATAAACTTTGATTTCTAACTTTCTATCTAAGAAATAAAAACGTCAGTGCCTTATCCATCCTCTGCTAATGTTCTTAGGTGCTTAAAGCACTTCCTTAGGCTCCTGTTCACACATCAGGCAGCAAGATGAGATTGGGTGGATAGGTACAGGGGTAGTAAGAACAGACTGCCTCTCTTTAAAGGAACTCCCAAATTCCCACCAAACATCTGCTAACTAAAAGTTTAACTCTATGTTAAAACATCGTCTTAAAAGTTGGACCATTAAATCCCAAAGTGTATATGCTTCTTAAAAGCAGCATCTAGAGCTAAAATCTTTATCAACAATGGCTTAGTTTCTTATGGCCCACATATCTGCATCAAACAACAGATTATTAGAAGAATAAAGTTAAAGCCTAGAAAGTGAAATAAGGGAATATCCAGAACACAGTGGACAGGAAATGATATCTGGCAGTTATAAACTGAGCATGCACATACCATGGGCTGATCTTCATTAAAGGAATCGGGGCACATGTGAAAAATACTGTTAGCAGCAAGAAGGACTTTCGGCCCCAAACATCAGAAAGAGCACCAATAAGTGGGGCACTGAGGAATGACAACAAACCCTAAAAAAGGGGGGAAAGGGGAAGGGAAGAAAAAAAACGCGTACTTTATGAGTTAAAAATAAACTGCTTTATTACCGCAGAAGAATTTTAAAGACATTTATAAAGTAAATACAGACAACACTAAAATAAAGATACGCAATACTTCTCTAGGTACGACTTCAAATTCTCAAGACTATCTAAGATCAATTCCTGTGCTGTCTGTGCACTACATACGAAATGCTCTAATGAATTCTCAACTATGCTAACTCCAAAGTAGCAATATCAGAAAGCATACATCATTCAGCTAATAATTATCCACATGCTAATTACGTTTCTGAAACCTTGTCAAATGGAATTAAGATTATGTAGGACAATCAAGATTTATCACATTGATAAAAGTTTTATATTTAGGTACTTTTTATATACCAGCACAAGCTGTGTTCCAGGTTCACCAAGAAGGGCCAGGCCTGGCAGTTCTGGGGTGGGGGCTTGCCAAGCTGGACACTGGACTTAGGGTCTCACAAGTTCCACAGCTGTTCTACCACTTGAGCCATATCAGACCTACTGATATATTTTTTTTAAAGTTATTTTCTCTACAATATATGTTTTACTGTTAGTTTACAAAAGCATTCAGAAATCTATTAGGACGTGGTATATTGTTATAAATTATGTGGCTACACTGAGTTATATGTATACGTTATGTATACATATAACTGGCCATACAGAGTGGCCGGAGAGCTAGAGCTAGGGTTAAGGAACTTACCTTCCTGGCAGCCAATGCTGGTTTGATTCCTGGCACTGCATACGGTGGCCCCAGCAATGCCTACGATCACTCCTGAGCTTAGGAATAACCCCAGAGCACCACAAGCTGTGGCTCCAAAACCCCCCCAAATTTAAAAAAATTTAAATGAATCGGCTACATTGAGTCAAATCATATTTAAAACCCAGTTAATTTAAAAAGCACTAAGCAATTCTTCAAGATAACTCTTTATATAAACTAGAGTTATAAAATGGACTAGTCAATAAACGTGTTATAATGAAAGAATGATAATGATATACCCAAGTGTACGGGCATGTGTGTGAACATGTGTACATGTATGTGCAGAATATGATCTCACCTTTACTCCTTGAATTAGGCCATTCATCAGAAATGTATGTTTGGGAAAAGTTTCATGTAGTACCTAAAGAACAGAAAAAGCTCATTCGACATTTCAGTCTTGATAAAAGTTCAACATTTGCACTTAAAAACACCTCCTCAAAATACAGTAACTTATTTAATATGAAATTTCATATTTACATGAGACTATGTATGCATAAGCATTTGCTATGTCGTAAAAGCAAGGAACTGTACACTTTTCATATATCATGTCCTTTATTTCCTCACAATTCTATCAGAAAATTGACAGAGGCCAAATAGCTTATCTGACGGAGCAAGATTATGTAACTCCTAAGTGGTGAAAACTGAAACAGAAAACAGGAAGTCTGTTTTCAAAGTTCAGACTTTTAATCATTTTGCCCTCTCACTGCAACTTACAACTCCTTTAGAGACAGGCAGATGTTGTTTAGGGTAGCAGACTAAGAGAATAAGATTTTGATTCCAAAAGGTAGCTCTAGAAAAATTTCACAAAGAAAATAAAACTGTTACCTAAGAAAAACATGTTATACTATCCTTTCCTGGTTTCAAACCACAAGTGAAAATATTCATCGAGCAACAAACCACTGGGAATTCTAAAAAAAATTAGAAGGAAAGATAAGTGAAAAAGAAAAAGTAGTGGCAACACAATTTTTACAGCCTTTGTAAACGAGTTCTTTGCTGCTTTAAAGGCAACTACCTTTCTTTATTTTTGGCTTTTTGGGTCACACCTGGCAATGCTCAGGGGTGCTATTCCTGGCTCTGCGCGCAGGAATTACTCCTGGTGGTGCTCAGAGGACCATATGGAATGCAAGGGATTGAGAACTTGGGTCCACCACACAGAAGGCAAATGCCCTACCTGCTATGAGCAGCAATGCAGGAAATAAATGCAGGGAAATCTATTCAAGAAGAAAAACTATGATGAGAAGTACATTTCTGACATTTTACAAGAAAAACCTTTAGAGGGATTAGAATAACCTTCAGTTACCCTACTTCTATCAAATAACAAAATTCCACAAAAAATGGCATATGGAAAAAGAGGGGGAAATTTGGAAACAAAATGTACAGCTGTCAAAGAAAAGCATAAGCCTGAGGGAAAATCATGTCTATGTTTGGGAGGCACATCCAGCTGTACTCAAGAGCTTACTCCTGATTCTATACTCCAGCAGTCACTCAGTTCTGGGGGGACCATCCAGAATGCTGGGGATCAAACCTGAGTTGGCTGCGTGCAAGGCATGTACCCTACCAGCTGTATTAATCCCTCTAGTCCAAAATTACGTTTTTGAGGCACTGGTTTGCCTAAATAAATATTTCTCAATCAAGAGCAAGATGCTCTAGCATCTTAGCAGATAAGGGTCAGGAATGCAGCTAGAAAGGTGCAATGCCCAGTTTAGGGCCTCCAATATAAAATCAACCATGGAGCCCTGTATCTACTTTTCTACCACTCATTACTAAGGAGCAAATGACTCAATTGACCAATCATGTTAGAACTGACCAAGATGTTAAGAATCAAGAACAACGTAAGGAATGCCTACAAAAAGTTTTATAATATGCTAGATCTTATTCTAAAGATTCACTTTACAAGTTTTATTCTATTCCAATCACTGTGCTCTAAATTACTTTAGAAATATATATTCCTCCGTTTCCAAAAGCCACACTTTCAGACACGACATTTGGTCCATTTTGAATGTCTCTTTCTGAGTCGGCAACCCCCACACTATCCCTGTTGCTCCTCGGCTAACAATTTTCCCTGATCAAAGCAGACTTCTCCCTCAGGAAGATCACACTGCCTTTCATGGCAATCACATACAGTTTTGTGACAGTCCTTAAATAACAATACTGATAAATAACTTTGCTCTGCTATTACTCAGTTTTGCATGTACTTAATATTTTTCAGCTTTATTCAAACTTACAAAAGAAAGCTACTACAACCACTATCCCAAGAATTTAACATAGTTTTAGTGCCTCCTAGAATGCTTTCATGTAGTAGCATCACTAAATGATGGTAAGGATATGCCCTTCTTTGCAAAAATTGCTATGGGATTTTTTCCATTTGGAGGAGCCTGTGCTCTCTCCTGATCTTTCTTTCTCTCACCTCACAATTCCCTTAAGTAAATTTCTTTAACTCTATTTTGCTACAGACACACACACATATACACACGCGCAATAATATGGGTCGGAGAGAGAGTACTGCATGTAAGGCTTTAGTCCTAAACACCACCTGGTGTGGCCCACCCCCATTTCCCTAATAAAAAAATTTATTAATATAACAAGACAATACCTAAAATTTAGCTCATGTGACAAAATAAAAAAGTCACAATTTCCCCAAAGAAATATAGTAAAATAAGGTAAATAAGACCCATGTTTGAATTTTTAACAAGTCATGAGTTAGAGAAATAGTACAGGCAAAAGGCACTTGCCTTGCTTGCAGTCTACCCTGGTTCTATACTGACCTCCACCAGAGGTGACCCTTGAATAGAAAGCCAGGAATAAGCCACAAGCACTGCTGGGAATGACCCCCAAAACAAAGCAAAAATGAAGAAAAATCAAGACAAACATAAACAACTAATATAAATCAAAACAACTAATATCAGGAGTTTTCATTTGTGAGACACCCTTAGTATCTGACTTTGGGATTTAACAGGAAAAAAACAGTCAATAAATTTTATGGAGAACTTTAACATTTTAAGAGTAAATAGTTATTAAATGCCTTAGAACTAGCTCAACAGCAACGGATGCATGCCATTTGTGTAGAGAGATGCAGGCCAGTCTTGGTCTACAACATAGACAATGCACCTAGCTGCCTGGACCATCAAACACTGACCTACCATTTCTAGACCATAGATTTTTTCAAATATGTGGATATACTTCCTACCATGATATATCCTCATAGAAGGATCACTAACTGACCCCCGCTACAAACCAACCAGCCATACAAGTCCTAATCTACCCACGCCACAGTGTGCAGCTGCAATCCTTAAAAATATCTGCCAGTACAAAATTCCTGTTTGTAGTGAAATCTCTGCTAGTGGGGACTTCACCAGCCTCCCTGGGCAGATCCTCCATACACAGCACAGACTTTGTTCTTGTTCTTTGTGTATTATGAGAACACAGTGTTCTATAAGCTCAGTGAGCTTCAAACAAAAATTACTGCAACCACATAAAGAAATATAAATATTTTTACTTCATTTATACTTCTAAGACAAACACAAATCAAAAATACATTATAACTAATGTGTCTTAAGAGTGGTTAGCAAATAATTTAATTAAGACTATTTGGAAATTTCAAATGCTTAAACAAACTCTAATTTTTTAGCGTTCTACATAGGAACCAACTTAAACACAAATAGATCAAATTTTACCTTCATCTTCCCTTTCTCTTTTTAAATAAATGTTAAGAGCTATGATTCTTTAGCAAGTATCCTTTACAGTAATATTCAAGACACATGAAAGAAATAAAATGGTTCAACGTTAACAGACTTTTAGGAAGAAGGGAACTTGCTCCATTTGCTATCCTTGCTCTACCATGAAACCCACCTGGCCCCTCACCCAACACAAGGGTGGGATTAGGGGAGATGCAGAAGTCCTAAAGACAGAAAACAGAACTGCCAACAAAACCAACAACTACAATCTTTAAGCAAAAAAAAAGTAAGGAAAGAATGGAAGGAAGAGAGAAAGGCAGAAAGTGAGAGAGGGAGGGAGGAGAGCCAGACGCATAGTACAGTGGGTAGGGCGCTTGTTGGATCCCTGGCATCATATAGTTCCCTAAACACTGTCAGGAGTAATTCCTGTGTGCAGAGCCAGGAAATTGATGCCTGAGCACTGCCATCACCAGGTCACTGTCGCTGTCCTCCCATTGCTCATCAATTTGCTCAAGCAGGCACCACCAGTAACGACTCACAAAAAATTGTGAGACTTGTTACTGTTTTTGGCATATCGAATATGTCATGGGTAGCTTGCTACGCTCTGCCATGCAGGCGAGATACTCTTGGTAGCTTGCCGGGCACTCCAAGAGGGGTGGAGAAATCAAACCCCTGCTGGCCGCATGCAAGACAACCGCCCTACCTGCTGTGCTATCACTCCAGCCCGCGATCACCAGATGTAACCCCAAAAAATAATAGGAAACAAGCAAGCAAACGAGCAAGCCTTAAGTCACTAAAACCTGAAAAAATCCAACAACAACAAAATTCTCACATCAAATATACTAGTTCTCAGGCCAGAACAACAGCCGGGAGCATCTGTGGCCTGCAGTCCAAACAGGTTGGATCCCTGACACCCACATGGCAACTCCTCAAAACCGCCTGAGCAGAGTGAGGAGTAAGTCCTCAATAATGCTGGGTGTGCCCCCGCTCAAAAAAACCCAAAAAAATATGTTTATAGTTGATAGAGAAGAAGATAAAAGTCCAAAAAACTCTGATGGTCTTAGCACTGTCCTCCCGTTGTTCATCGATTTGCTCGAGCAGGCCCAGTAACATCACCATTGTGAGACTTGTTACTGTGTTTGGCATATCGAGTACGTCACAGGAGCTTGCCAGGCTCTCCGAGAGGGGCGGAGAAATCGAACCAGGGTCGGCGGGGCCGGCCGCATGCAAGGCAAATGCCCTACCGCTGTGCTATCACTCCAGCCCCCGATGGCCTTATTTAAAGAAACAGAAATGGCAAATATGGGGGCTACTGAAGTAGCAGAGGGGTTAAGGTGCTTGCCTTACACATGACTGACCCCGGGTTAATCCTAGCACCACATAGGAACGTCCAAAACTAACTACCAGGAATGATCCCTGAGCAGAGCCAGGAGGAAAAGCCTTGAGCACCACAAGGTGTGGTCTGGGGCACTAACACCAAAACCAAAGCAGCAACAACAACAAAATAGAATTATAGGATATATAGAAGGGTATAAGAAGTATACAGACTTACACATGTTTCTACATAGTTTTCTTTAATCATATTTCAGCACTTTGCTATTTCAATGCCCAAAGGCCAAGACACCCGAACAAAACAAATCTAAGGAATTAGAGACGATCTAATCTCTACAACTCAATCCTGGTTGGCTTCAACTTTGCCTTAATTCTCTTCACACAAAAGAAAAGCATGTATCACAAGTAACATGTTTACATCAGACAAGAATTAGCCAAAAAAAAAAAAAAACCCCAAAACCCTGAACTTAATATTAATAACCCTGATGTTTGCCTCACAGGCCATCAGTCCCAATCTGACCCCCAGCACTGAGGGAGCCTGAGGCCTGCCAAATGTGGTAACACACACCCCCCCAGCCCACAACATTTACAAATTTATTCAAAAAGGCAGTCTGAGTTTTAAATAATCCAGTAATGATAAATTATAAAGAGTTATGAATGATTATTCTCCTTGAAAGCCACAGCTCAATCATCTTGCCGCTTTAAAATCCAAGTATAAAAAACATGTCAGAGTAACTGTTAAGATAACCATGGGGGCCATCTTGCTATAAATCAATAGCTGCCAATGATGTTACAGTGCTTGTCTAAAACAATGTAGCCATGCAGAGGAAAAGGGGAAAAAAAAATCCCTCCACATAAGCATCCTTAATTTTTCTGACTAGAATTCAATTCAGTAGTTTTTAAAAAAGAAAGCAGGGGCTGGAGCAATAGCACAGCGGGTAGGGCGTTTGCCTTGCACGCAGCCAACATGACCAACACAGGTTCAATTCCCAGCACCCCATATGGTCCTCTGAGCACCGCCAGGGGCAATTCCTGAGTGCATTAGCCAGGAGTAACCCCTGAGCATCGCTGGGTGTGACCCAAAAAGCCAAAAATAAATAAATAAATAAATAAATAAATAAAAAAGAAAGCAGTGCACAAAGGCACTTTCCATTGGGGGTGGGGGGGGGAGGCTGGGCACACCCAATGGTGCGCAGGGGCTATTCCTGGCTCTTTGCTCAGGACTGAACTGTCAGTGCTCAGTGAAATATACATATGCCAGGGAATCTGAACTGTGCTCAGCTGCTAGGCAAGCTCCTTAACCGCTGTACTCTCTCTAGTACTTCCATTTTTAAACAACGATGGTTCAAATACGGATGCTGTGGTTTACTATCGCACTAGCAAGCGAGTTGCTTAGCTTTTCCCAACTTTTTCTCATATGCATTATGTAGTTTTGAGGATTAAAAGTGATAATATAGTTAAGGTGCTTAAAATGTGTCAGGAGCAATCAACTCTATGAACTATTTACTAGCACAAATCTCAAACACTTTAACTACAGGATCAATGATCCATCAGGCAGATTTATGAATGAAATTGATAGTGGATTATAAATAGCACACTGGAACATAATAAAAGGCAATATAAAGGTGTGAGGTCACACAGTTATCACAGTAACTCAGTAGCCCTGACATCAGGTTATTACACTATAATGAAGTTACAAATGTCACAATGAACATGAATCACCTTAAAGCTCCAACTCAGTGTACTTGGGTTAACGAAGGCAGAAAATGTGTATAATCATTTAAGATGCTGACACAGAAAGTGTCTTTTAAAAAAGGTTTTTAGAAGTCTTCACTATTTATTTTGAATTGTTTTTGAGTCACACCAAGCTCTGCTTTTAAGTTCATTAAGTAGCATGTCAAGTATAAGATAGTACGAAAACTTCTGAACCACATTAAGTCAATAAAAATGGGGGGGTGGGGAGGTGCGCAATAGTTGTTAATTTTCAGGAAGTTGTTAGACTTTCAGGAAGATGCTGAGTGTATTCCCCACCCTCCCGGAAAATAAAAATAGGTGATTGGCCAGATAAACTGGGAACCTCTGCTCTACTAGTTGTACAAGCTGGGTTGTGAGTTCTGTAACGTCCCTCCTCTCAAGTGTCCGTGCACGCTGCTACCGTGATGCCCGCTGACCTTATGAAAGGTGCTTGGGGACCATCTGCGGTACCAGGGACTGCACCTGGGTCAGCCATGTGCAAGACTAGCACCCTATCCACCCTAGACCGCTGTATCTATCTCTCTGGCCCCTGAAAATTAATGTTTGTAAAACTAGTAACTCATTAGCGGTAAATGTGCTGTTGCTCCCTTCATAAAACAGGAGAGTCTCTATCAAAACAATCAAAGCCACAGTATAGCTATATTTCAGAAAACTATTATGATAATTATACTAATCTGCATGGTTTACAAAAAATGGTGTAAAAAGTAGCAATATATTATGAATTCTCTTTTTAGAGTACTTATGAAGATATTCAGATATCCATTTTACATAAATATGGTACGCATCCATGAAACATGTCAAAAGTAGAAATACAACATATTATAACTAGCTTAATATACTTATATGATTCAGTATTTTAATATGAAGTTTTATATAGCAAGTTCATGAAAAAAATAAAACTACATCTTTAAAATTCTTCTGAGATTTGCTGAGCTGCACATTTACCCTAACTGAACATTTCATGACAGAGACATGTATGTTAACCACTTCTTCATTTCATTACTTTCACCATTTAAACCAACTGGAGGAAACTAGTCATCACCTGAATTGCTTAATCAGGCAGAGAGATTTTTCCCTAAGATTTTAAATAGAGGAATAGTAAGGTAAGGTAAGGTAAGGTAAAGGCCCTCCCGTTGATCGTCGATTTGCTCGAGCGGGCCCAGTAATGTCTCCATTGGAGACTTTGTTGTTACTGTGTCTGGCATATCGAATACGTCACGGGGAGCTTGCCAGGCTCTGCCGAGCGGGCGAGATACTCTCGGTAGCTTGCCGGGCTCTCCAAGAGGGGCGGAGGAATGGAACTTGGATCGGCCATGTTGGTTTTGTGCAAGGCAAACGCCCTATCGCTGTGCTATCGCTCCAGAGGAATATTAATCAAATCAATTGATTTGATTTTTTTTTACCCAAATATTCAGCGCTATGGGTGATCTGGAAAATACTTTTCCAAATTCTTGGCCTAAACTAAAAGAACTGCTTGAGTGAGTGTAGTCTCAAAATAATGCAGTGATCAGGATGATGGGCATCATCTTTTCTACACCTGCTTTAAGAATCCTTTAAGTTCATTCTACCCAGGCAAAGTGTTTGTGACCTTGTTTAAATACATTAACAAAAATCACACACATGATTCACCACATAAATTCTACATAAGGGAATAGGTAAGGCCTTTGCTTTTCCTTTGACTTTCCCTTGTTTAGGAAAAAAAAATTTTAAAGCAACAACAACAAAAAGCAGCAAAATACAGTAACGAAAGGTTAACAATACTGGTTTGAGTCTTATCATGGGAGGGAAAGGGGGCTCTCAACCCACGAAACTGAGAGAAGCAAAGATTACTTACCACCAAGGTGGGTGCTGTCAATAATCCCCAAGCAAAAAATTCCAAAAAGATGACAATAACCGCATGATAAACACTAGGAGAACCTATTCCTTGAGGCTGCAAAAAAAAAAAAAATTTTTTTAAAAGTTAGTGATGCATTTCAAAATTACTAACAATGACAGCAATAGTCAATAAATGTTCACTGAAAATATGTATTATCAGGGCATTATGTCAAACAGCTGAATACAGGAAGAGGGAAACATACGTGTGTGTGTGTGTGTGTGTGTGTGTGAGAGAGAGAGAGAGAGAGAGAGAGAGACGGAAAGCTCGACTTCCAGGAGGAAGTTTGAAGAATATGAAGGCGTTACCCAGGAGCAAGGGGGCTGAGAGTGACCGTCACGGCAGCAGCCCGCAGACACTTGAGGGCAGGGAGCGTGACAGAACTCACGGCACAGGTTGTACAACTAAGAGAACAGAGATTCCCGAATTTATCTGGCTGATCACCTGCTTCTCAGGGAAAAAACAAAAAACAAAACCCTGTCAGTGCCTTCCTAAAAGTCTGCTTTAATGAAAATTAACAAAAAACTATTACACACCCCTCCCCTGCAAACTGTCACTGACTAAATGTGGTTTCATATTTGACATGCTATTCACCCACCCTCCCATCAAGTGTCAATATGCCTCCACCACAGTCCTCAAGTCCCTTCTCTCCCTATACTCGCTTCTGCACCTTCAGTTCATTGTGGCCACATCTCAGGGTTCATTTCCCTTGCTTAGTCTCTTTACACTCCATGTATGAGAGGGAGTTTCTGGTGTTTCTCCCTCCTCCTTCTTTAAAAAATCTTTTAAACTTGTTTTCATGTTTAATATTTTTAGTTCTCTTTTCCTTTCTAACTCTCTTCACTTGCCATGATACCCTTCAATTCTATCCATGCTACAGTGATCCACAGATTGCATCTTCTCTTTAAGCTGAGCAATATTCCATGGTACACATATATGCCACAATTTCATTATCCACTCATCTGCTGTGGGCTCTTGGGTTTTCAGAGTTTTGTTGCGGTAAACAAAGCTGCAAGGAACGCAGATGTGTAGACGTCCTTGGGGATTCATGTTTTGGTGTTCTTGGGGAAGAGTCCAGGAAGGGAAATCACTGGTTTATATGGGAGTTCTAATCATTTTCTGTCCATTTCTAATCATTTGGAACTACTGGAAAGCTACTCTAAGTGTACAAACATAAAGTGTCCTGCCAGCTCTACCTGCGGCTTTATCTGGCTTGTGGATGGCCACAATGTCTCCTGTGGGGAGACTTCACCTGCTGAAAGAGTGAAAGATGAGTGAGAGATGACCAGCCTTGTGTTGAGGGGCCTCCAGTTCTGAAGGCAAGTGGGAGCCACTGCAGAAAAAGTTAAGACCCATGATCTGATGAAAGTTATTAATCATTCTGACAAAGGAACAGCCACAGATTAAGCCTAAAACAACCGAGGCTGTGACAAGTGCTGTAGCAGTTATCAACATGAATCGGGAATGACTATTCAAATACAGAGGCTAGGGAGGGAGCTCTGGAGAGAGCACACATGCTGAGCATAGCCCAGGTCCTACCTCTAGCTCTGAAGGGCCCCCAAGAAGCATCGTTGTGGCCCAAGCATGTCACTGGGAGGCCCTCCGCACCAAGCACTGCAAAGAGAGACCCCCATCCCTCTCCACTCTCAGCACTGTATGCCCTTTAAAAACAAAAAAGTAGTAGTTGTGTGGGCCACAGAGGGTTGCTCTGCATCCTGCTTACCCTGGTTTGAATCTCTGGCACCACATATGCCCCTCCACTCCCGTCCTCCCCTCCAAGTAATGCCAGGGGTTACTCCTGAACTCAAGAGCCAGGAATAGACCCTAAGTACCTGAGTTTGGCCAAGTCTCTCCTGTCCCCAAATTCCCCCAAAAAGTAGAGACTGGGGCATGGTACCTAAGAAATAAAGTAAAATTAAGTTTAAAATATTATTAAGGCATGTCTTACGAATAGGCTGGAGTAGGGGGCTGGAGCAATAGCACCATGGGTAGGGCATTTGCCTTGCACGCGGCCAACCCAGGTTTGATTCCCAGCATCCCAGATGGTCCCCTGAGCACCGCCACGGGTAATTCCTCAGTGCAGAGCCACAAGTAACCCCTGTGCATCGCGAGGTGTGACCCAAGGGGGGGGGGGGGGAGGCTGGAGCGATAACACAGTGGGTAGGGCATTTGTCTTGCACGTAGCCGACCAGGGTTCAATTCCCCCCTCTCTGAGAGCCCGGCAAGCTACCGAGAGTATCCCGCCTGCACGGCAGAGCCTGGCAAGCACCCCGTGATGTATTCGATATGCCAAACACAGTAACAACAAGTCTCACAATGGAGACATTACTGGGCCCACTCGAGCAAATTGATGAACAACGGGAGGACTGGGCTACAGAGCTACAGTCTTAAGAATATAAGGGCATATCTTACGACTTTAGGGGTCAGAGACGTGCAATGGTAGAGTGCATGCAAGCCACACATGGGGGAAATGTCAGGCTGATACCCTAGCACCACAAAAACAAAGCAATAACCGGAGCAGCTGCATTTCCTGTTTCTAACAGTGATAGTAAATTGATGGAAAAGCAAATGGCCCATGATATTAACTCAGTTCCACTAATTTGTGTAACAGAAATGCAGAACTGAATTTTGTTATATGTAATTGTAATCAATGTTACAATGGCATACTTTAAGTATTAAACTATATTCAACAGCCAAATTTGGAAATTCTTACTAGTTTGGGTTTATCTACAAGCTAAAAATAGTACTAAAATGATTTTATATCATTTTTAATAGTTATTGCATCATCATCATCATTAAAAAAAGAGATGTTTCTCCCAACTTACAGAACGTAGATATCTCTGCACTCCCTCAGAGGAGATGCTGAAGCTAAGGAAGCGGAGTGAGCAGAGGTGGGGCGGGTGCGAGAGGCCGCCCAAACCAAGGACCCGTGGCTGAGAGCAAATCTGTACAGAACTTACGTGCTCCCATTAGGGGGCAATTTTAAGTCATGTGAAACTGTTGATGGAAAAAAAGCATAGCGGTAGGGCGTTTGCCTTGCACGCGGCCAACATGGCCGACCCCAGTTCGATTCCTCCGCCCCTCTCGGAGAGCCCGGCAAGCTACCGAGAGTATTCGATATGCCAAACACAGTAACAACAAAGTCTCCAATGGAGACGTTACTGGGCCCGCTCGAGCAAATCGACGATCAACGGGAGGGCCTTTTACCTTTACCTTTTATTATGTTGTTCTGAGTTTTCTAAGTCTTTTCTATTAGGTATTTTTATACTTTAATAAAAGAGGAAATATTTAAGAAAAAAACTATATATAAAACTAGACAAAAAACAAGATAGGTAGCTGGACACACTGTTCCACAGCCATTACCTCCCAGAATTGGGGAAGAAAATTATACTAAAAAAAAACAAACGGGGCTGGAGTGATAGCAAAGCGGATAGGGCGTTTGCTTTGCACACGGCCGACCCGGGATCGATTCCCAGCGTCCTATATGGTCCCCCAAGCACCACCAGGAGTAATTCCTGAGTGCAGAGCCAGGAGTAACCCCTGTGCATCGCTGGGTGTTACCCCCCCCCCAAAAAAAAACCCAGAGGAAATACTGTTATAAAGCACAGATAATTTTGTGTGGCATGATTTGGTAGATTCTAATAGAACACTTATAAGCTAAAGTCTTGGACAATCTGAGATAGATTACAAAGGTCGAGACTGAGCAGAAAAAGTAGGATAACAAAGTATCTGCCCAGTGAGCAATCTGTGGCACCAAGAGGAGGGAGAGATCCTACGATGAGGAGACCATCCACAGGTGACCTGCGTGAGATGCTCAAGAGAATTCAATAGGTACAAAGTAGAAAATCCTGAAGAAGACAAATCAGAGCATAAATTTGTGCACACCCTGGGCTGAAGTGATAGCACAGTGGGTAGGGCGTTTGCCTTGCATGCGGGCAACCTGGGTTCGATTCCCAGCATCCCATATGGTTCCCTGAGCACTGCCAGAGGTAATTCCTGAGTGCATGAGCCAGGAGTGACCTCTGTGCATTGCTGGGTGTGACTCAAAAAGCAAAAAAAAATTTGTGCACACCCTATTCCCAAGGCAAAGATAGGCCATCTTAAATCCTAACGGTTACTCTACCAAAGTTCATTCAGCTGAGCAATTTCTCTATTGTGGAAGCTAGAGATGATTCCATTGCAGCCACCTCTATCTTCAACCTCAAAAGTTAGGGATAATCTTTAATCCCTCCACACTCCTATTTCCTGTTTCTCAAATCATACTTTCTACAATACTAGAGTTATGGCTTCATTAACAAGGCTTTCGACTAAGCCTATTTAAATCTGTATGTTTTTTCTTTTATCCTGCAACACTACGTAGCATCCTATAGTTAAATTTTGCTATGTCAGGTTCTTATTTATCTAACCTGAACTTTTTTTCAAGCTCATGCTCTGATGCAGACCCTGCACTTTATTCTTCTTTGATCTGGAGTATGTGGTACACACAAAAAATAGCACAAAGGAGTTCAATGAATGTTTGCAGAACTACTTTAAAGTGTTCTCCAAATTTCTTCCATCAGTATAGGTACTCAGTAGTTATCACATCTTCTCATTTTGAAAACAGCATTATAAGACTGTATCTTCTCTTATAAACTCCCTCCTTTATACTGACATCTCACACTGCTACCTATCACCTATCATGGATTTACTACACACATACCCTAGATTAGAAGGCTATGACTAAAGATTTACAATGGTTTATATTCATAATCTTATTGGTTCTTCCCAGCAACCTTTTCAGCTAGATACTATTATCTTCATTTTACAGCTGAGTTCATCAAGTAAGAGCTGTAGCAGTCAAGGCAGGCACTACCAGAACCCAAATCTGGCGTTACAATGGCTGCAGTGGTGACACCACAGAAAATTGCCACTACGTGTTACTTAAGTACAGGGATGTATTCAGTCTCATCCACTCCAGTATTCCAATGCACGGCTCGGCTCTGGGAAAGAAGGGCATTTAATGCCACTGAACTGGCTGATCCTGTAGCACTGCACTGTCCTCCCGTTTATTCATCGAT